TACTTGAGTGGAGGCCCAATGTCCATCTGCTACCTTAATACTAAACCTATAAATATATGCACATAGATCTATTTCCCCATCCTCATATATAAATATATGTGCATGTGTACATGCCTGTATTTAGACCTCTATAAATACCCTTGGAAGCAGACTCTTTATCTTTCTGCCTCAGAGTGCCTGGTGGTTCAAATTGCTGACCTTCTAGTTAGCAGTCTCACCCCACCACTAAACCAAAACCCAAACCTACTGCTTTCAAGTCAATTCCAATGCCAAGTGACCCTATGTCGGGTTTCTTTATAAGAGTAGATAGCTTTATCATCTTCAGAGTGTTGTTTGAGCGGACATTATAGTTAACCGTCCATTGCTTACCTGACAACACCAAGGGCTCCTCTATGACTATAGTGAGGAAATAGAGAACTGATCAGACTTTCTGTATAGCAGTCATTCATCAGTGGTATTACATATTATTTCCAAAGGGAATAGAAAGTAGTTAAACAAGTCATGCTGCATCCAGTTTGTGTAATATTTTGTGGTCTTTAGAATCTTCCAAGTATCATAAGGAAAATGATTTTAACAAAATAGGAGAAAAAATTTTGGATACAAATTATGTGTAGTCAGAGGCCAACTAGTATTTTAATTGATTTTCAGTGAGCTTTTAAAAAGTAGAATACAAAACCACTTATGAATATCCCAAATATATTTATATTTGCACAAGAAAAAAAGAGAAAATGTTTACATCAGGGAGTTGTCAGTGATTAGCACCTATAAATTATGGGTGATAATAATATCTGTTTTAATTTTAAAATTCTTTTCTGTGTTTTCTCTAATTTGAGAATGTGTGACTCTTCTGATCAAGGGAAAGCAAACACGTAATATATTTTTAAAATGGCAAAACCAGCAACCTCCTGTGGATGTTTTGAGAACATGTCCTGTTTGTTTTACTTTGTGTTTCATAAACAAGATAGAGAAGGAAGATGATGGTAAAACTGTGTGCTCAGCTTTGCCTTGTTTACTTCTTATTATAGTGGATATTTTAAATAAGATGGATATTCTTGAACTTAAGGTAATTTAAAATCTTTCTTTCTTGTTTTAGGATGACAAATGGGAAAAGAAATGCCAGAAGATTTTTTCATTTGCTCACCAGACTATCAGCGCCTTGATCAAGGCAGAACTGGCAGAATTGCCCTTAAGGCTGTTTCTTCAAGGGGCCTTAGCTGCTGGAGAAATTGGTTTTGAAAATCATGAAACAGTAGCATATGAGTTTATGTCCCAGGTGCTGATCTATTCTTCCCTTTTTGTTGTGATTTAATTTTTTTTTAATTGTCCAGTGAGTTGCTTTTCTGTAGTTTCCATGACAGTGCATATGGATAATCTCTTTACCAGCTTGGAACCGCTTTAGACTGTAGTCATATTGACTAATGTAGAGTAGCAGAATCAACAGATGCTAGTGTTAATGAAGTCTTAGATTTCCAAGTGTGTCATGAGAGACACACACATATTTCATGGGAAAAACTACTTTGTGAATGTGGTTTGGGAGCTCTGGGTTAAAGTTAAATGGATTTCTTTGTTATACAACTTACTTGTCTGGAAATTGACTGTTAGAAGCCATATCTTATGCCTCCCCAAGAAAAAGGAAGGCATGCAGACTCTCACAGGTGGGGGACTGGGGGCATGTATTTTGGATGGCGATTCCCTAAAGTCCATTTTACTGTGTATCCCCCAGGCCTTTTCTCTGTATGAAGATGAAATCAGTGATTCCAAAGCACAGCTCGCTGCCATTACCTTGATCATTGGCACGTTTGAGAGGATGAAGTGCTTCAGTGAAGAGAATCATGAACCCTTGAGGACTCAGTGTGCCCTTGCTGCATCCAAACTTCTGAAGAAACCTGACCAGGGCCGGGCTGTGAGCACGTGTGCACATCTCTTCTGGTCTGGCAGAAACACAGACAAAAATGGGGAGGAGGTAAAGAGAGAGGTCATTCTTGACTCTGACAAAGAGGGGTGATCATTAACAGGGACTAGCTGCCTTTGCTGGTGCCCAGCTTGGGATGATTCAGAGTGCCTGGGAATCTAACCACCCCCCCCCAAAGTTCTTTGTTTTGTAAATTGAAGTGGACAGTAATATATTGAGAGTATCATCCTGTGGTGAAACCTCCACTTTGAGGATATTATAACATCCAGTTTATGTCATAAGCAAGCTGATACCACTAGCCTTTGTTTAAAAATATAGTTATATACTTTAAAAAAAAGAATGCAAAGGATTTAAAATGATGAAGCACTATAACATTGTATTTATTTCTTTGTGTGAGAACAGGACATTTGTGAATTATTAATCATTGCATTATTTCCCCTCCCCCACATTTCTAATTTTAGCTTCATGGAGGGAAGAGAGTAATGGAGTGCCTAAAAAAAGCACTAAAAATAGCAAATCAATGCATGGATCCTTCTCTACAAGTGCAGCTTTTTATAGAAATCCTGAACAGATACATCTATTTTTATGAAAAGGAGAATGATGCGGTAAGTTACTGCCTTTAAAGCATTAGTGAACCAATGATAAAGTGTTAGTTCAGAGAGCAGAAAAGTGGGCACTGGGTTTCAACCCTGAATCTAAAGTCTATTCGTTTGCTCTTAGGCTATTCGATTTTTTCACTTTGCTGTCTTCCTTCTCCAAATCATCTCACTGTGAGACTTGTGAGTGGGAGTTTATGGGTGGGGAAATGGTTACGTGCTAACCAGAAAGAAGGTTGGCAGCTTAAGTCCACCCAGAGGTCCCTTAGAAGAAAGGCTTCTTTGAAAAAATCAGCCATTAAAAAGCTAGAGAACACAATCTTTGCTATCAGACTATACTTGATTGGGAGTTATCAATGATGTGGACTACTCTCTCTTTTTAAAATGTTTTGGCTGAAAGTTCACAGAGCACATCTGTTTTCCATTATTCAACATACACATTTTGTTTTGTAACATTAGTAGCACTTCCTTCAGTATAACGGCACTCTGAGTGCTTCCTGCCTGTGTTCCTGTAGCCATTAGTGTTTCTTTCCTGCCCCTTCCTTCTTTCAGAGCTTTGTTTTGGGACAAATGCTGCCCTCTGGTCTTGTATTGTTCATTGTTTTGAGCAGTGCATTCCTAACAAGTGTTTTTACTCGTCATTGTATAGGCCTGTCTGTTGTTTCATTGCAAAATGATCCCTGGGGTGGCTTCTGACCCATGTCTACCTGATAGGACAGAGTAGATCTGTGCCCTGTAGGATTTGCAAGGTTGTAATCTCTGTGGAATAAGACTGCCTCATGCCACAGGTGGCCAGTGGGTTGGAAGCACCAACCTTTCAGCCAACAGCCCAACACAGTGCATTGCTCCACCAGGGCTTCTTTTTGCTGATTAGTTGTGACCAAATCAGTTCACCCTCTAATGGAAGAACTAATACAAGAAAATTCACATTTCTTTTGATGTCATATAAACTAGCCACTGCCTGTTTGAAAAACAGAATACATTTTAAATGCCAGTACTGGGCTGATTTGCTATTGTGTTCAAGTTTAAAATAATTTCTTAGTACATTATCTTCTACCACTGTGATGTTAGTCAAGAATTGTAGGTTAAATAAGTTTGTGCTTTTGTTCTTTTATTAGCTCATGTTTGAATTATTTTGTTAAGATTATGGAAAAACGGAATTAAAAGATAATGGAATTTTTTTTTCCATGAACTTTTTGAAGCCCCACTCATGCTGGTGCGTGTACATGCATTTGGCTAGGTTTTTTACTGGGAGCTCTGGTGCACTGTCAGGTAAGCATTGAACTGCTAATTGTGACCAGCTGCTTCTTGGGAGAAAATTGAGGCCGTTCTCTCCTGTGAAGATTCGCAGCCTCAGAAACCCTGCATGGGGTTGCTCTGAGTTGAAATTGATTCCATCACACTTGGTTTGGGTTTCGTTTTGATAGTTTCTCATTTATCTTTTCTCATAGTGTCTGTGGAAACTGATGGAAGTAGCACAAGCTCCACAAAACAGTTTTTATTAAATTCCATTTTTGTAGTACCTGCTTGATCATGAAATTGTACATACTCTTTTGTAGGTAACAATTCAAGTTTTGAATCAGCTAATCCAGAAGATTCGAGAAGACCTCCCGAATCTTGAATCCAGTGAAGAAACAGAACAGATTAACAAACATTTCCATAACACTCTGGAGCATTTGCGTCTGAGGCGGGAATCACCAGAATCTGAGGGGCCAATCTATGAAGGTCTCGTCCTCTAACCAGGAAACAGTCTCACATACTCCTTTCCATCTACATCCAGTGCGGGTTTTATTATACTAGTTTCCTGTCCATAGATTGTGCCTTTCAGAAATGCTGAGGTCGGTTTCCCTTTCTTACCTGTCATGTGCTTTACCCAGCACCTCCAGACGCTCACCTGCAGGACCTTAATAAAGTTTATTCACTTCATAAGTGTTCAGGTCTGTCTGACCGCCCTGAGTAGCATGACTGATCTGCTATTTAAAATTCCTGTGATTTTTAAAAACAAAGAGAAAACACCCATTTATCTCAGCCACTAATGAAGCTTTCCTTTTTTTCTGCTGTGTTTGTTTCCCCCCATTGTTGACTGTGTAATTTTTTCCATTACTGGGGAGTACTAACCCAAAAGTGTCTTGTCTCTTTGTTCTCTAGTCCAACTTGAGATTAATTTAGAAGAAAGGAATACTGTATGTGGAATTCACCTTGGACTTTTCTCTAAATTCAAGATGAGGCCATATATAATATTCTCTTCAAAAGTAGAATATTTTAATGCATGTTTGAGACTTCTAAAGCACCGTGGTCGAAACCTGGAGCTATATTTTGCATATTTGTATGCAGTGATCCATTAAGAACCTATGTTGTCTCCTGGGCATATTTATCAAAATAATTTTGTTCTAAATAGTAGACAGTAGAAAATTTGTGATCTATATAATTTATGTAAGCTTTCATTATTGTAAATTTAGGGGGAAATGCATCACACAGTTATCATGATTTTTTTTTCCACCAGTGAAACAATAAAGTCGCTATTAACAGTTCTGGATAATTTGCTTCTTCTACACTATTATGATTCAGAAAAGGAATAGTTGAATGCCTATGGCATTTAGTAGACATTTTCATATATTCACGGAGCTCACAAGTTCAACTCTAGTTTTAAGAACATTTTAAGCGATGTCCCATCTTCTCTTTTAGTCAGTTACACACATTTGCTTTCCTCAGCCTTATACTACTTTTCTAAGCATGCTTAGTCCTCATTAACACCTAAAGGCTCAGCACCTGTATTAGTTTTCTGTTGTATCAATTCGTTTCTTAAAAAAAAAAGTTTATCTCTTTTTTTCTGGGTCAGGAGTTTGGGAGTTTCTCAAGAGGTTGCAGACGGGGCCACAGCCGTCTGAAGTTTGCTCCTGGAGGCTCTGCTTTCATACTGACTTGGCTGTTGGCTGGAGGCCTCATTTCCCCTTGTGACCCCTGAAGGGCAAGACTGTTTTCACAACATGGTGCTGGCTTCCCCAGAATGAGTGATCCAAGAGAGCATGGAAGCCAAAAAACACTTGCTTAAGGCCTGCCCATGGAAGTGATGCAATGTTGTGCCTTGTTCTATTAGAGAGAGTTACAACATCCAGCCCACACTTAGGGGGAATTGAACTGTACATGAATAGAGTAATACCATTTCACACCTCACCATCTGTCCTCCCAATGAAAGATATCTAACACTTGGTACGTTTTACAAGAACAAGTGTTCCCAGATTTTTAGAGTAGTAGTTGTTAGGTGCCAGGTTGTTCTTCAACTGGTGTCCAACAGAACAAAACACTGCCCATCCTCACAGTCCTTGCCATGTTTGAGCCTGCTATTTCAGCCGCAGTGTCACTCTGTCACATTGAGGATCTTTCTCTTTTTGCTGACCCTAGCTTTAGCAAGCTTAATGCCCTCTAGGGATGGCCCTTTCTGATAACAGGTTCAAAATACAGGAGGCACTCTCACCAACCAAGGAGCATTTTGCTTATACTTCCAAACAGATGTGTTTGCCTTTCTGGCAGCCCACGGTGTATTCAGTACCCTACACCATCATTTAAAGGCAACAGTTCTTCAGTCTTCCTTATTCATTGTCTTCCATACTTATGAGGTGATGCAAAGTACCATGCCTTGGGTCAGACACATGTTAATGAGTTAGGTGACCACAAGGTAGTGGTGTTGCTCTTTAACACTTTAAAGATGGTTAACTCTACTCTACTTCATTTGATTTCTTGATCGCTGCTGCCATGGGCATTAATTGTGGGTCCAAGTAAAATCATACCCTTGGCAGCTTTTCTCTGTTTTCATGACATTCCCTATGTGTGGGGTGAAGGAGAGGGGTCCCCCACAAATCATCACAGGTCCGGTAGGTGCAATTGTATAGCGATAATAAGTAAGGATTATAGTAAAGCCATAGAGAGCATGAGAGATAGAAGAGTAAAGTAATAGAGTCAGACATAATTCACAGTAGCATTGCTGACCTCAGCCCCGTTTGATGGTCCACGTGGGGGTAACCCTGCCACGAGAGCAGGAGCAGCCTCAGGGACCGAGAACCTGGGACCACTTTTTCTTTATTGCTAACCAAGCGTTCTATCTCTTTAGGGGGTCATGATTACAGGTAACCACACGTCACAGGAAGGGGCATCTATGATAGGCATAAGTGTAACAGTAAGGGGATGAACTAGGGGTGTGCCCATACGAATGGGAAGGTCTAGGGGTATACATGTGACAAGATGGATGGACCCTAGATTCATGATGGCAGCCTAACCTTGGTCATACTTGGGCGGGTTTGACCTCTCTGGTGTCTCCTACAAGGAAACAGACAACTACTATCCTTATCAGAAGGGAGTGGGCCCTACTTGTTGTGGGATAAACAGTGGTGTCTGCTTGGTCTACATGGCTGATAGCTCTTTAGAGAGAATGACCCCTAATCTACTCCTGATGACCTCCAAGTGTATAGTCATTCTCAAGCAGCTAAGTCTGGCATATATTTTGGGGGAGACAGCTTGAGAGAAATCCTTCTGTTTCCCATAGGGGTTCTTCCTCAAATTCTGGCCAGGAAAAGGCAACTAAAAATTCGCAGGAGTGTTGACTAGGGTCTTAAGATTACCTATTGAGAAGCAGGCGCCCCCCGACTGCTGCTAACACAAGGCTGGCAGTTCAAGCCCAGCATGTGCGCCACAGGAGAAAGATGAGGCTGTCTGCTCCTGTAACGATTCACAGCCTCAGCGACCCTGTCTGGGATTGGATCCCACGGCAGTGGGTTTGAGGTGGGGAGTTTTAAGGAATAGGAACCCTGGTTCCTTTCCCGCTTGCAGGACCATGGTCCCTCTGGGATAATGACATGTGACTGAAGAGTTCAAGGAGGACTCCTGGCTCCCCTCCTTCCCCCGACCATCAACACACTACATTGGCTTGAAGGTCATTATTGAAGGTCATCCATGGCCCTGAGAACTTGGAAATGCAGGGCAATTTTGTGAATGATTGTGACATAGGCGTGGGGGTGGGGGCGAGTCTGTAACTTTCCATATCTCTGGAGAAGCCAGCACCCCTCAAAAAGCCGGGTCTCCTTTTGGAGCTGGCGAGACAGAAACTCGTCCACAAGGCTCTTTCCACTGCAGTTGGCCAGGGAGCTTCTCGAGCTGAAAGTGGGGCGGGTGATGAGACTGCACAGACTCTCAGGTCTCCTGCTGGCCATTGGTCTCAGGGTACTGGGGAGCTCCTTGGGTAGAGGTGGGAAGGGGAGTCCCAAGGCTTTGAGTGGGGTGGTGGTGGTGGTGGTGGCGCATGGATCAAGAAGGTGCTTTTCCAGTAGGGTGGCCAGGTCCGATCTAGGGCTCTCAGTGAAATCTGAATTTCAGATACACATCGGATCCTTGTTGCAGTGGAAGTATGGCCCAAGTGGCCCATGAGACACACTGAGACTAGCTACTCAACCTGTTGCAAATCTGACATTCCAATTTAACCAGATGTAGTAGTTACATAATCTGTTGTCAATCTGAGAGGATTATGAGTGAAGGGGTAGAGTCTAGCCTGTCAGTCAGATCATAGCCAATGAGGCTTCTGTGTGGGCCTGGTCTTCTCCTGAGGATTCTGGGAATTCCTGTCTTCCTCCCTGGAGGCAGAAGACACTCTTCCTCTCTGCTCGCTCCAAGACGCTCTACTTACAATACACATGGCATTACGCTCATGCCTTGGAGCTGGAGAAGCCACATGGAGACCCTTGCCAGTGCTGAGATGCTTCCACCACCACTGGATCCAAAGACTTTCTACCACTGGCCTGTGATCGTCCTGCACTTGGCGTCATTGCATGTGTTTCATGAGTCTGAAGAGGACTTTATGGATTGGTATTGGACATATGGGCTAATATTGGACTCAAGGGGTTAGACTGCACTGGGCTGGGATGCTTTCTTAATGTACAATTACCCTTTCTATAAAACTCTCTCATACACATATGAGTGTGTCTATGGACTTCACTAATCTGCCTGGACTAACACACCGAACAACTAACATCCTATTTCTTTTCTTTCTTTGCCAACACTGACAACCTAGTTGTCAGGGGCACTGGGACGCGAACACTCAGGTGTCAGGCTACAACCGATTTTAATGAGCAGCGTTTGAGGCACAAAGGGCATCTGGGCCCCAGGCTGGTGCCCTGGAGCGTCCCAGGTATTCTGATTTGTACGAGGCCTCTCGGAAGATGACAGTTCAGAGACCTGGGAAGAGTAAAAGATCGGATTTATTTAATACAAGCCCCCGCAGGGTCCCTGCTGCCGGGCTACTGAGGTGAGCAGGGAACATAGCATTGGTTAGGTGTGGTCATGGGCGACATTTCACGGCCGAGGGGCGGCTGCCCCCTCTCCCCACTCACACCGCTGTCACCCACCCCGGAGGAAACATCTCAGGACTTCAAGAGAGAGAGCATTCCCATAGCAAGGAATAAATAATAATAATAAAAAGATTAGTAAGGAAAATACATATTTCTATTAAAAATAGGTTTTGCTAGAGGCAACTACCAGCCTGCCTTTCAGCCCCCAGCAAGACAGAGGGACAGAAAGAAGAGGGTAGAGAGAAGCAGCCGAGGGACATCTGTGCTTGGCCCAACATCATCCTCGCTTCTGCACACTGCCCGGCACGGACCTCGCTCCCAAGGCAGTGCTTCCGGGCTGGCGTTGCCATGGCTGGTGGGTGAGACTGTCACGGGAACAAGTTGCAGCTGTCTGACCCCTGACGTGTCTGTGCATAGAGTAAGGGTGCCACCGACGGGGGCCCCTGACCTCGGACCGACCCAGGTAGAGAGGACCAGAGGAAAAGAGAAAAGCTCGCCCCTCGACCAGGCCACTTGCTAGACGTGACGGGGGCTCTTGGAAGAGGTCTTTATCTCTGCACAAGACAAAATATTCAAGTTTCAAGGTACATTCCCACGGTCTGTTTACCCTGAACCTCCTTGGGCTGCAAAGCGAGGCTCCGCTTGGTGGCAGGTGGTCCAGATGGGGAGTCAGCAGCCCCTTCGGATGGCTTCATACCCAACACAGATGCAGTAGGGTGGATGTAAAGGCTGGTGGCTTGGTTCGGTGGGAGTAGGGCAGGTGCATAAACCAGTGCACAGAGCTCTTAGAATCCATGAATTGCCTGCTCTTCTCGGCATGTGGATGTCCTCCCGTGGGTGGTCTGGGCCCGCCTGTCCTATGTACCATCAAGGGAGCTTTCCGTTCTCTGTATCAAGGAGAGAGGAGACGTGTTATGGCCACGGCTTTCTGGATGGAACTGCGCCCTGGTGGGATGACATGCAAAACCACAGCCCAAACTAACCGAAGGCACCACCAGGGAGTCAGTGCCCACTCAGAGCGACCCTACGGGCAGGCTAGAACTGCTCCTGCGGGTTTCCGAGGCTGTAACTCTTTTTTTTTTTTGAGGCTGTAACTCTTGTAAAAAAAAAGCATTTTATTTGGGGTGGGGTGGGGGCTCTTACAGGTCTTATAACAATCCATGCATCAATTGTATCAAGCACATTTGTACATATGTTGCCATCATTTTCTTTCTTTTTTAAAAATCATCTTATTGGGGCTCTTACTGCTCTTATCACAATCCATGCATCCATGTGTCAAGCACATCTGTACATATGTTGCCGCCATCATTTTCACATTTTCTTTCTTTCTACTTGAGCCCTTGGGATCAGCTCTTCTTTTTTCCCCTCCCTCCCCCATCCTCCCACTCTCGTGAACCCTTGATAAATTATAAATTATTATTATTTTTCATATCTTACACCACCTGCTGTCTCCATTCACCCATGTTTCTGTTGTTCGTCCCCCTGGGGAGGTGGGTGGGTGTTATACGTCGGACATTGTAATTGGCTCCCTGTTGGTTCCCCACCTTCCCCCTACCCTCATGGTATTGCTGCTCCCATCACTGTTCCTGACAGGTCTATCTGTCCTGGCTCCCCTGGAGACTGTAAGTCTTTATGGGAGTTGAGAGCATCTCATCTTGCTCCCATGGGCCAGCTGGTGGTTTTGAACTGCTGACCTTATAGTTAGCAGCCCAGCACATAACCCACGACATCACCAGAGTGCTCCTAAGATTGCAGACTGCATGCCTGAAGGAAACTCCAAGGCATTCCTTGCCCCACCTCCCCCACCCTCGGGCATGGCATGGCAGCTCCCTCAGGCACATAATGATCCTTCAGGTCCCCAAGGGTCGGAGCCAACTCCACAGCAACTAGCACCACCAAGCCAGAACCAGGCGGTTCCGTGGTAGAATTCTCGCCTCCAGGCAGGAGCCGCTCCTTCCTGACCAGCGCACCTCACACCCAGCCCCTGCTGTTGGGAGGGGAGCTTGTGTGTTGCTTACAATGCTGAACAGATTTCAGGGGAGCTTCCGGACTAAGAGGGACTAGGAAGAGAGGGTCGGAGATCCGTTTCTGAAAATCGGCCAGTGAAACGCTCCCGATGGAGATGACAGAGGCCCCGGTGTGTCTCACTCTGGTGAGTCGGGGGCTGCCTCCAGGGCAGCTCACAACAAGCCCTTCTGTTGGAGACGGTGATTCATCTCCCACTGGAGGAAAGCGGAGCGCTAAAACTCAAGAGACACAGTCATTGCACATGCCGCCTTAGAAGGTCTCTAACTGCATTGGGTGGGTGACTGGGTACCCACCGACCTGGCCCTGTGTTCTCTGCAAACCAACAGCCCAGTCCCTGAGAAGGCGATATCCCCTCCATGGCTGAGCAACTCTAGGGTGAGGTAGAAGGTGGAAGAGATTCTGAGAGACCACAGGAAGGATTGAGAGGGGACCAGGGGACTCTGGACCAGGCGGCGAGGGAGTTACAGAGAGCTTTGGGGACAGAGCCTTTGCTGTCAGGTCCCAAAAGTCCGGTGGATTTTGATAAACCTGGAGGATGGGAAGAGAGGACCAAGGAGGCAGAGGAGGGAAGGGTGCTGGAACAGACTGCCAAGAGGAGGGCAGGGTTGGGGGTGATGGGGTTGGGGATCGCTGGGCAATGGGGAGCCCTGAAGATCAGGCAGCTTCTAAGCTCACTTCTCTGGACCCTCCTTGGGGCACCCTCAGTGTCCCTGCAGCTTGTCCAGATGAGGGATCAGCCAGGGCCTTAGGAACACGGGGACAGGCAGACTATCTTCCTGAGGGCTTGGGTCTGAGGAGCCTTGTGAACAGGATGCAGAGCAGAGAGGCCCCAGGTGGCTTCTCTGTCTGGAGAGACCCAGCGGCCCAGAGAGCTATGCTGGTGCGGGGACTGGCCAGCCCAGCAGGGAAGCTTTGCCCTTTCACTTCCTCCGTTGTCCCAGGAGGGAGACGGGACTCGGAGGTCCAGACTGAGGCCCTTCGAAGACACTTCCACTCGCCTGCTGTAGGGGAAGCCGGGGCTAGGGGGCTGCTGCAGGACCAGCCCCACAGGCCGGAAGGGCTGGGCGGCCACCTATGGGCTTTGGGGATTTAGAAGGGCAGGTCAACCCACTCATACTGCAGGCTCCAGCTCCTGAGGCTTAAATCAGACGCCTGACACCCCTCCAGCCGCGAGAACACCCTGTGTGCTTCTGGACACCCCCAGAAGCCATTTTGCCTCCAGTCCCTTAGAGATCTCCACTTACACCAGCTGTTCTCAACCTGTGGGTCGCGACCCCTTTGGGGGGGTTGAATGACCCTTTCACAGGAGTCCCCTCATACATCCTGCATATCAGATATTTAAATGGCGATTCATAACTGTAGCAAAATGACAGTGATGAAGTAGCAACGAAAATAATGTTACTACACTTGATCTTGGCCAAAAGGCCAAGAGGAGGGCAGGGGTGGGGGTGATGGGGTTGGGGATCGCTGGGCAATGGGGAGCCCTGAAGATCAGGCAGCTTCTAAGCTGGTTGGGGGTGGGGGTGGGGTCACCACCACTTGAGGAACTGTATGAAAGGGTTGAGGCATTAGGAAGGTTGAGAACCACTGCCTTACACACACAAACCTCAGGCCCACCACTGCTGGGCCCATTCTGGACAGGGCAGCGCAGGGCTGCCCCCTGGATTCCCAAGGTGGGGACTGTCACAGAAGCAGCGCGCCACCCCTTTCCCTGGCAGCACCATGCATAGACCCTTTGGTTGATGGCTGAGCGCTTTAACCACGATGCCACCAGGGCCCCTCTAGCTCTCCAGTCTCGCATGCTCATGAAACAATCACGTGGGCAGCTTAGGAAGCTATCGATTCTGATTCCATCCTAGCTGAGGTAGAAAGGCAAATTTTCAGTAGGGGCGGGTAGAACCTTCATGGGCCGGTCCAAAACCCCTGGCTTTACAGGAGGCAACCAACTAGCTTTTGATGCGGTGCTCTCCCCAGGCAGAGCAAGTGAGGGGTGAGTCCGCTTTGAACGGAAAGGTTGGCTGTTGAAGTGCCTCGGAAGAAAGGCCTGGTGATCTGCTTCCAAAACACCAGCCCTGGCTGGAGACCCCTGTGGACAGAGCTCGCCGTGAATTGGAATACTTGATGGAAACTGCTGCCTCAGGTTTGCAGCTTGCCTGTCTCATTCAAGCCTTAAGACACCGTAGGAGATAGCACTAGCGATTCTTGTTGTTGCTACTGATATTATTTGTCAGAAAGACAAGAGGTGGCTGGAGAGTGGACTCCAAGTCCTGGACTGTCCCCCGCAGCAGTCAAATACCTGCTGCTGGCCAGGAGGGATGAGGGAGGCCAGCGTAAAGGGGGAAGAAAGCAGGGTTTTCTCGGAGGCCCCACACAGGGCCAGATTCTACCCTCTCAGTACAGCCTGATCCCTTTCACATTATCTGTCTGCGTCGGCGGCAAAGACCATTTATAAACAAGGTGACCACGGCAGGGGAAAAATGAAATCAGAGTGTACCATTGAAACCAGTCAAACAAAACCAAATTAGTATTTGGCTAAGGGGCTGTCTCATTGTTAAGATATTTCCTTCAATATGTTTTCACAAGCAACGGCCATTAAACAACTGGGAATGATTGCCAGGTTTGATCTCAGGAAGGAAGTCCCCTCCCATTTCCCTGCTACGCAATTCCATTAATTTTCTCCCGACCCTCAGCAGCTGATAATGAGAGGAGCCATACCTGCTTCTTGGATAAACAAAATCCATTCGCTTCAAGGGTCCAAACCCCCCCTCCTAACGGCTGGGAGCCCCTGCGCCACGCCACGCGACTTGACTTCGGGGGGCTGGGGACAGGGTGAGCCGTGGCCCCATTCTTAGGAGCGGCCCAGGAGCAGACTGCTGGCTCCCCGGCCTGCTCCTGGGAAAAGGGAAACTTCTGTCTGGCAGGGAGCGGGAAGCCTTTGTCCCGAGAGCCCCTCTGGACGGGAGACAAAGTAAACAGGCCGGTCCTGCAGGGTGCTCACTGCCCATTGGCAGCAGGTCGGCCCTGGGCAGACACGGCCATGCTGGTTACAGGAGAAGGACACATTTCGCTCTCAGGCCCACCCTGCCCAGGCCGCTTTCCAGGATGCTGGGGAGGTGGCGTTGCTCCTTGGGGACCCGGGTCTAGTCCTGGCTCGTCTGCGAACTGGCCGGATGACCCCGAGCAAAAGCTGCTGGGCCTCGGTTTCCCCACCTATGACTCGGGCTACCAGTCCTTCTGGGACTAGAAAAAGACATGCACCGCCCCACCCCACCCCCCTTTTAAAGTTGGTCCCTTTCTTTGATAAAAGAATATCCTTGGCTTCCTCTTCAGCGAAGGTATAATGGGCCCTGTCTTACAAGAATGCAGACTCGGGCAAAACAAAGGAGGCCAAGACCCCTGGAAGGGCTATCAGAACGCCTGCAGGAAGGTGTGTCCAGCCGCTCAGAGAACGCAAGCGGCCAATCCCTCACTTCGTAAGATAATAGCTGCTCAGCTAACTCCTGCATTTTGGGGGAAGTGCACACAAAATTCCAGTTTAGAGCCAGGGATTTACAGGTGGACCTCTGTGTCTCCCTCCCAACCTCTCCCGCTCCAAGTAACTGCTCCCTAAGTCCACGGCACCCTACAGAATGAAGCCTCTGGAGGTAGCATTTGAGGTCCTGCAGGTTAGAGCCCTGGGCCCGCCCACCCACCTCCCTTTCCCCATCACTTCTCACCTGCACCCCATCATGCGCTCTCCCATGCCAACTGCTCCCCCACCCAAGACCTTTGCTTCTGCCCATCTGCCCAGCAGGCTGCTGTCGCCCAACCCAGTCTGCATGGCCTATTCAAGTGACTGGTCCTTGGTAGAGGTCTCTGACCAGGTGGCCCCTGTGGTCATGCCACTGGATAGGGTACTATCCCCCTTCTTTACAATCAGTGGCAGGGTACTGACTTCCTCATCAGACGGTGCCTCTTGGGGCCCAGGCACTTGCCAGGTGTAGGGTAGGTTCTCAGTGAATCCTGGCAAAAATCAGGTGAGGGCATTCCATGATCCCCATAGAGCAGCGGTTCTCAACCTGTGGATCACGACCCCTTTGGGGGTCGAACGACCCTTTCACAGGGGGTGCCTGATTCCTAACAGTAGCAAAATGACAATGATGAAGTAGCAATGAAAATAATGTTATGGTTGGGGGGTCACCACCACATGAGGAACTGTATGAAAGGGTCGTGGCATTCGGAAGGTCGAGAACCACTGTTCTAGAGAGAGTGGAAGAGAAATGTAGAACAAAATTTACTGAATTCATGAGGAGGGTTGCGAACCACTGCCCTAGAGGATAACGATAGGGGAGAAAACTGAGGCCCCATCTGACAGGGCACCTGGTGTGAGATGGGGGCTCCACATGGGATCCTTGAGTTGAAAAGAGCTGCTGGGTAGACGACTCAGCCAAGCAGACCCCCACCCCTAGCTGGCCTCCTTCTCAAAGCCTAGACCCTGTGCTGGGAAGCAAGTGACACTGGCCTATTTGTACCGAGTCCCAGTCTTACAGGGGTATTTCCAGGGCCCCCAGGGTTGTGTATGGGCTGAGCTGACCAATGAGAAGAAGAGGCGAGAGAGGGTCTGAGACTCGAGCTGCCTCAGAAAACCTGGCCAGCCTGGAGACCCGGACGTCCCTGCACCCAGGCTGGCCAGGCACTGGAGGCTCCAGGTCTGGGAAGGGACCAGGGATACCTCAGGGCCTGGTGAGCTTGGAGAGACCCTGTTTAAGGCAGTGTTGATGACATAAATACTTACAGAGTATCTATTTTCCATGAAATCTGCAAAACAAAGAATAAGAGGGTGGTGAGCAAAGACTAGCCTGTAGGCTGGGCACCCTTTCCTGTCTCTGGGGCTGCAGGGCGGGGTTCAGGGTTGGGGTACGTACGGGTGGGGCTGCAAAGGTGCAGTGAAGCTCCGGAGGAGCGAGCCTCTAGTTCAGGCCACGCCCCAGGACGCTGTGGCTCCCTGGTGGAGATTGGCTCTGGGACTTTGTGGCGCCACATCACGGGCACTCAAAATCTTCTCAAACTCACTGAGCATTGGGGACCGGGTTTAAAAACTAGTAGCTTTTTTTTTAATGGAAAATTACCGAAAGCAAAAAGGAGATGAAAATCATTTCTGGCCTTATTTTCCTTTGCATTTCGATGTATTTTCCCCCTAGTCCATTTTTCTTCTATGTGTGTGGTTTCTTTCTTTTTAAAAAACAATTAGCTGGTATAAGTTATTTACATTCTCTTCTCTTTCACATGTGACGACTTTTACAAGCGTTTTCAGGCCCCATGACAATTGTCAAGCGGATGAGCTGCTGTTTATTTAACCGTTTCCTTACTGCAAAAATAGAAGATCTTTGCCCGGACATCATCATTACCCATGAACCCGAAAGCCTCCCCTGCGATCTTGTTCAAATCAAACAGGAGCTGTGCTGAGCTGGTGTAAAAAGGCTGGCCTGGAACACGAAACCGAACCCTCTCTATGGGGCAGGTTGACCACAGCCACCCCACAGAGCAGGTCCACACCTCGGTGTTAACAGTGGGGGGAGAAGAACTCAGGAAAGGAGGCCAAGAAGGGTCGGGCAGCCCGAAGCAGGGGAACAGGGTCACTGAGCTGTGGGTGGACAAACTGGTTGCTGTGCGAGTTCTCAACCTTAGCAACAGGATAAACCAAACTAGGTGTCGCTGGGGCCGGAGCGATCACCGTTTCCCAATGCTCTGGGCAGGGGTGGCCATCAGCCCCCTTTCCCGAGGGACCTCCTCCGGATGATCCATGCCATCCTCTCGCAGGCGTGCTCGTGGGGGAGAGGGGGGCCTGACGGGGCTTGCCTCGCTATCGCCACCAGGATGGCCATGCCCACGTCAGAACAGACCTGGCTTGGCCGAGGCTCTGTCAGAGTTCTCGACAGAAGCAAGGATGGCGAGATTTCCTCTCCTGTACCTTGGACGCATGGTCAGGAGAGACCAGCCCGTCACGCATCCTAAAGTAGAGGGGCAGGGAACAGGACAAAGACCCTTGCCAAGAGGGAGTGACACAGCGGCTGCAAGGGTGTGGCTGAACCATTGCGGAGGACGGACGGGGCGCAGGTCTGGGCAGGGTTCATTCCGTGGTACGCAGGGTCGCTATGAGCCGGAACCGGGCAACGACGTCGGAAGATGAGCGTGGGGGTGAGATAGGTTGATGAGAACAGAAAGTCGGGCCTGGAGGGTTAGTGGCGGGCTGCCCGAGAGGAGGAAGAAAAGGGGCTCGCTTGCCTCTTCAGACAAGAGGCCTCTAGTCCCCCCACTAGGGTCGATGGTCAAGGGCCGAGATAGAGCCGGATTCCTGAGATGGCCGGCGACAGACACAGACTTCCCAGAGTCTCAATCTATACCAGCGGCCCAAACACAAACTAGTCCCGTCTGGATCTTGCTAAGTTGCCGGGACACAGGAGTCACCACCCTTGCCGTTTCTCAGTCTGATTTTACCGTGTCCTGTCTCATGAGTCCCTGTCTTATCACAGCCCCATTGTGCCTGCCCTCCAGCAGGAACAGGGCCAGCGGTTCCTAAGGGGCCCCCGCTTTGGCCCTGGCAGGCCCGGATTCAGACCCTGCGGGCCAAACGATGAATCAGCTCGCCACCTAGGCAAACCCTTGGGTAAATTTCCACCCCACCCTCCCTCAAAGCATGGGGGCAAGGGGCGGGGGGTGGCAGATAGAAGAGGAAGCTGTCTCCAGGCAGTACTTGAGCATGAAACATGAAGAGTTCAACGATGTCGACCAATCAGGCCGAGACCACGTCTTTATATGTGTGGATCAACAACCAGACACGCAGTGGTGGTGTTTGGTAATGGAGCAGCCACCGCACACAGATAGACTCTAATGGGTTGCACCCAACGGTTTCGCAGGGCAAGTTTGACCAGGCTGTGTTTTGAAGTGAGAGAAGCTACCTGGGGCCTTGCAGGATGGGTGGGGAGTGACCCTTTCCTGTGACACTTCTCCCCCCACCTCACCTCCTCCTCCCCCTGTCCTCAGGCTTTTTCTTGATGGCCACTTCCAGTCACTGTGCCCTCAGCCCCACCGCTCCTGGCATATTAGGGGGCAGGGTGTGGCAGAGCGTGGACCTTTAAGAGAACACCCCTGGCAGTCTGGACAAAGAGAAATCAGAGGGTGGACGGCCAGGAGAGGCCAGGCAAGGGAGCAGAAGCTCACTTCGGAAGGTGGGCTCGACCTAGCTCACAGTCATGGCATAAGTGCCTCCTCCCAGGGTCTCTTCAGTGGGATGTGCTCAAGATGTCTCCCCAGGTGGCCACTCCTGGCATTTTGAATTCTCGCCTGTAGTGCAAGAGACCTTCACGTGCAAGCCACCATCCCCGCCTATCTGTGCAGGCTGGTGTGTTGCCTCCTCCCCCAACCACCTCCAAAACCGGTAGCGACCACGAATCTCCTATCTCTGTGGGTTGGCTTGTTGTGTACTTCACTGTCTACATGAAGTCACACAATATGTGTGTTTGTATCGCTCTGGCTTCGCTCTGGATTAGCACCCTGTTTTCAAGGCCCATCTGTGGTACCGCCTCCCCGTGGTTATGGAAGAGGTACGCAAAGTGAGCAAACCAGCAAGGACGGGAAAGGCCTGTGCCAGATGGAGTGACATCGCAGGGGGTGACTGCCATAGTAGTCAGGTCAAACGGGACACCTGTCAGTGATCCCCCTCCAGACCCAACGTATCGTTGCTCCAGTGTTGAATAGTTTCTGCTTTGTTATTGGGCTATTTGTTTGTATACTGTTTTGATCTTTGTACGCCTTTCCGTATAGGAAGCCCAGATTAGGTAAACCTAGAGAGACAACTGCTGGATCAATAGATTCAAAGGGATCCGACAGGGTGGGGGATTGGCAGGAAATGAAGAAGTAACAGCCATGAGGCCCAACAAGAAGAAATATACTGGAATTGACTGACTGTGGTGAAGGCTGTACAACTCTTATGAATGTGAATGAGCTATTGAAATGCCTGTGTGAATTGCACGTCAGTGAGGTTGCTAAAAATCAGCACCACCACCAACAAAACAACAAGCGAACCTTTTGCCATTTCTAGTAAATCACATCATCCTGACTCATTTGTTACCAGGCCTACTATTGCCGGCTGAGGTTTGCAAATCTTCAAGTAAATGGTTTTTTTTAAAAAGATCATTTTATTAGGGGCTCTTACAGCTCTTATAACAATCCATACATCAATTATGTCAAGCATATTTGTACATATGTTGCCATCATTTTCTAAACATTAAGTAAATTATTTTTAAAACTATATAAAAATGTTCCCAAATGTAAAACCTGCACATCTAACTCCCTGCGAAATATTCCTGCAGACAAGACACATGGGGCTACGCTAGAATCCTGGAGCTAGAGGAGCCACGTGGAGACCCCTGCCAGCATTGAGATGCTTCTACCGCCACTGGATCCACAAGACTTTCCACCCACTGGCCTGTGATCCTCCTGCATTTGGTGCCATTGCATGTGTTGCATGAGTCTCAAGAGGAATTCAAGGTCAAATATTGGACTTACAGGCTAATATTGAACTCATGGACTTGCTCTGGACTGGGCTTGGCTGTTTTATTGATGCATAATTGCTTCTTGATATAAAGTTCTCTCTTATACAAAAAACAACCAATCAACCAACCAAAAAACTTGCACATCTAACGTTGTTTACAGAAACCCACAGCATGTTCTCCCTGGCTAAGAGCAGGAGCTCTTTCTCAGCCCTTTCTAGCTTCCCCAGGGCTGGTTTCATCTTCTCCATCCAAACCAAAACCCAAACCAAATTAAACTCACTCCGGTCGGACTGAGAGAGCCCCATGGAGCAGGAGCCCTGGTGGTGTCGTGGTGACGTGTTGGGCTGCAAGCTCAGGGTCAGCAGTTTGAAACTGTCCAGTTTCCTCCCAGGAGAAAGATGGGCTTTCTCTTCTTGTAAAGAGTTAGTCTTGGAAACCCGGTCTTCTAGGGTCACTTGGGAGCCATTCTATACGGCCCTACAGGGTCACTGAGTCGGCATCGGCTCGTCGGCTGTGTGCTTGGTTTAGGGTCTTGCTACAGAAAGTCAAAAAGAGTTGGCTGAGTGAATTTGGACTCTGGGTGACCCCCCGCGTTTGGCAGAGTGGAATTGTGTTCCCGAGAAGCAGAGGTAGACGCCAGGTCTTTCTTCTGAGGGTCTCTGAGCGGGTTTGAGCGGTCACTTTTTCAGTTACTAGTCAAAGGCTTAACCTGCTGTGGCCCCCAGGGCCACCTTCCTAGTACAGAGAGAGAGAGCCACCAACTGACTCTGAGCCAGGAGAACACCCGAGACACAACGACCGGCCCTGAGGTGACTCACGACAGGCAGGCTTAGGAGCAACAAGATCTGAGGGGTCCTGGAGGCAAGTGGGCAGAGGGTGTTTAGAGGATTCAAATGGGCTAAAGGGGAAGGGACTCTTAGAAGTGCCTGGCTTCTAAGGCTCCCGCTCAGACAGGTTCAGGGGGGTGGCTGGGGAGTGACCAGGGTGCAGACAACGGACTTTCACTTTCAAATGCAAGGACATGGAGACTTGCCCGTGTGATGATTGGATGGGAACTTACGATCATTGGCACCCGCCACCTCATTTAACAGATAAGAGGAAAACAGAACAGAGTGTCCAGATTGACGCCAAGAAGGCAAAGATCCCTGAAGACAGCTCTCTCCCTCGGGTCTGTGAGCTCCCATTTGGGGACTCCTGTCTCCCCATCCGTAGGCCCCCAACACTCTCCAGGACCCAGGTCTCCCTCCGCATCGCACAGGCAGCCCGGGGACTGCTCCTTGGCGGCTGGCCTGCCAGTGCCCTTTTGCTTATCTAGGGGAGGGTTTTCCTTTGTATCACACATGGGGTTCAGGAGCCAGAATCACACCCTGTGAGGCCAGTTTCCCAAACAGCCAGCCCTGGAGTGCTGCCCACCGGAGGTGGTGGGGAACTGAGACGTGAAAGGGGGGAGAAGGGAAGGTTGAACAAGACTCTGCTACACCCCTGATCCCTTTGTGAATTGGTCACCCTCAAAACCACACACACACACACACACACACACACACCTGCCTAAGATTGGATTTCTGAGGGGTAAGAGATAACTCTCCTTCAAACACAGAGCAACACAGGTAATCTGAGAGGAGTAATTGGAAAGATGCTCCAAACAGCATCCGTGTTTTGGGAGAGCTTGTTAGCAATGCCCTCAGCCCCACTGAGAGCGACTGAATCAGAACTGGGAGGCCTAAGGGGGCGGGGCATCCACAGTGTGTGTTTGAATAAGCCTGAGAACCATCGGCCGGCCTGGAGTCTAGTCTAGTCCACACCCCTCCTGTCACAGAGAAGAAGCCTAAGGCCTCAGAGGTCCTACGACTTGCCCAGGATGCCCCCCCCACCCCTCTTAGATCACACCACGGGGTCACACTTGGCTCCCATAGTAGATAGAGCTGAAGTCTCTAATTAAGTTGATGGTAACATTTCCCAAAGCAAGTGAGGTGGGTGCCTGCTGCCACCTTTTAGGTGGGGGAAAGAGAGCCAGCTAGTTTGGCAACATCAACAGAGGCAGTGTGAGGACCCACGCAGAAGACCCGTAAGGACTGGCAGGGCAGCCTGAGTCCCTGGTTCTAATCCCTGCCCTGCCACTTCAAGTGGCCTTGGGATGGGGACAAGAGACCTAACCCCTATGGCCCGTTTTCCCACCTGCCAAGCAGAAGGGACGGAGGCCCATCAGAAGGTTGGCTGGGGGTGTGATGAGTAATGTAAAGCCCTGCCAACAGAGTCTCAGGCACAGAGTGCTCTGTCCACGCCGGGCCCCACAACACGGGAGAAAGGGACTCTCCTGGCCCAGAGAAGAAGAAAAGCACATGCAGCAACAGAAGGGAAACAGATGGAAAGGTCTTTCTTCTACGAAGCTACTCGATGGGTTTTGAACAGCCAACCTTTGTCTAGCAGTCGTGGGAACCAGAAACTCCTGGGGCTTGAGAGAGTTCAGATTCTGGTTCTGGGGGTCTGGGCTGGGGCCCGAAAACTGCAGCTGCTGCAGGTCCAGCAGCCAGGGTCTATGGAAGCCTCCCAGCCCGTTGTAATGATTCCGTTCCCAAGAATCCACGGGGATGGAGCCCCCTCGTATTAAGACAGTCACACAGCGACGGCGCCGCCGTTTGGATAAGTTGTCTTTGAGGATTCCACCTCAACCAACAGCGAATGCACTCATTCTACAACAAGACGAACTCGTTGGGCGCACCGTTGGTTAGCTCCACGTCTGCCTGGGCAGCTCGTCATCGAGGAAGCGTGGCATGATGGGAACGAAAGTGGGGTGTGGGCAGAAATGAACAGGAAATGGGAGCAACATTGTACGACACCCCCCTGATCCCCAGGCAGTCTCCTCTTGGAAAGACTGAAGCTGTGTCTTCAGAGCCAAGCACCTCACTTCCTCTGAGCCCTTTGCCAGTCCAAGGGGCAGGGCCCAGGCCAGGCTCACCAGCTGGCAGCTGGACTAGGTGGCCGTGCTGTGTCTCTGGGGGCAGAGAATGACTCAGCGGAGCTGGGACATTTGGTTCTCCTGGCCAGAAGGATGAGAAAGGTCTCTCTTGTTGGGCACAGACTTGAGAGGATCTGTCTGTCTGACGCATAGTGGGCACTCAAGAAGCACCGGATGACTGTGTGGGTGGGAGATGGGACCCCAGCCTCCCCTTGACGGGTCGTCAGCTCCCGCTTCCCTGCTCACTCCACTCCCAAAGCCCACCGTTGGTTGATTCTGGGGGAGGTGCCCCGCAGGCGGGGCAGGCTGGGCCACATCACTCACCAGGGTCAGCTTTCCGGATTTCACTGTACACCGTCTCTGTGCCCTTCGATTCTAGAGCTGGAAAAGGAACGGAGAGCAGGTCGGTCTCAGCCCGTGACACCAGGTCTGCTGCTGCTGCCGCAGCAGGAACATCCCTGGGGCCCCCTCACCCAGCCCCACAGGGGCCCATCCCCAGCTTTCAAGGTGCACTGGGGCTACTGCTAGCTTGCCCTCTGGCACAGCCTACGGTGCTGAGGGGGTGGGGGAGATGGGACAGGAGAAGGGGTGGGGACCAAGTCTGGCCCCCAGGCACACGGGGGTGATCAGGTGGCCTTTCCGGACCACTTGGAGATATTCTAGCATCTTCTGGACCTGTGGAGCCTCGCTAGGCCTGCTGACACAGGGGACCAGCGGAGGCAGAAGGGGCTTCTAACCCTCCTTGAGCAGCTAACGGAGGCTGTCCCCCTGGGCAGGCCCGCTGCAGCCCCCTGTATGTTCTATTGCTGCTCCCCGCCAGCCTCCGGCTCAGTTCAGCCCTGTGTGTGTTTATCCAAGTTCACACGTGGTCACTGCTGGGCAGGCCTGTGTGCGTGCATGGGAGCATTCCCTTGTATCAGCGTGCACCTGGGTGCATCAGCCCACCTCCCCCTCTGGCTGCCCAGTAGCAGCAGCTGCCCACTAACGACTAAACCAGGCCAGCCGGCTGTTTGTCTCTGCTGTCAGGGATGTTTCCGGAAGGGGCTTTATTTTGGCTTCTGTTTTTCTCAGTGTTAACAGAGAAAGAAAGCCGTGCCTCCCCCACCCCCACCCCCGTGACCTCAAGGGGTTTTCCCAGCAATCAGCATCAGGGCAAACAAGCAGTAAACCGGAGTTTAACAAGTTCCTTCCTGCCCGCTCCCACAATCCCAGAGGCTCCTTGGTTGGCTGCCAGCCACGGTTAGAGCTGGACGTGGTGCCCACCCAGCTGGGGAGGAGGGGGCATCTGGAGGACACGGAATGGGGCTGGTCACGGTGAAGCCAAGTTTACTCACCACTGGCCTCAACCTCACAGAGCCCTTTACTCGTATAGTGACACCCCCCCCCCCCCCACATCCCACATGGGAAGGCAGGGAAGAGCATGGGAGGTGCCAGGCTCCAGTGTCCTCCATGCCCCCATCACCTCCCTGCCCCGCTGGTGCCAAGGAGGAGCCTGGCTTCCACACACAACTCAAATCCTCCTGAAGCGCTCCTCACCACCGTGAGCACCACTCTACCACAGCTTGGGAAGCCCACACATTCTGAAAGGGTGGCCCGTTGGGTGGTCGAGACCCTATGGCCATACTGCCTGGTGGGCGATGCCCGTAGGGGCTGACTGCCCTTGCTTCAGCCTTTCCCCCTATCAATTTCTCCCGCCTTTAAGCAGGAAGAAGAAAAACCGATCCTTGGAACATGGACTCAGCCCTTCCCAAGGGAGGAAGCAACACCGCGGAGAATGGTCAATTCTCCAAGCACAAACCTGCCCTCTCCTCGGCCTCCTTCCAGCCACAGTCCCTGTCAGCCCACCCTATCCCGGCCCAGCAGCTAGGGGACCAAGACAGGACCTGCCCTCTGGAATCTCAGTGCCCCGCAGCCAGCATGCGGGAGCCTGGGACAGACAGTTCGAGGGGAACCAGGCTCAGGTAAACTGCTCCATGGACCGTGAGTGGGCAAGAACAGAGAAGACGGCAGGGTGTTCCCAACGCACATTCAAACCCTCTTGCCTCGGGTCTCCACTTCTCCCAAGCCTGAAGTTCTCTGAAGAGGAAACTTATTGTTGCCCCGGGACCAGGCTCAGTGCTCAGAGGGACGGGCAGAGTGCTTGTCCTGGGCTCAGGCTGGGTCAGGGAAGGGAACCCCCTCCCATGCCGTCCAGCACAGCCCACCCAGACTGAACTCTGAGCACCAGGCCTTAGTGCCATCTTCTCGTGGAGGCCCCCTGGGCATCTCAAACCTCACACAGCATGGCCCCAGCTGAACCAGACCTCACCACGAGAGCACCACCATCTCCATGACTGTCCATTCAAGTCACCTCTCCTCCCACCCCTAGCCATTAAATCCCTCACCCAGGGCTGCCCTCTGCCTCCAGGACAGGTACCTCGAATCCACCCATTGCCAGCATTTCAGCTCCGCCCTCATTTCCTCTCGCCTGGTGGTAACACCTCTCTGCTCCATTCTCACCCCTTCCCACTGGTTCCCCAAAGCAACCACCAGGCTCTTTAGGAACGAACTTGGACCCTGTCACGTCGGGGCTTCAGGCCTCCCACTGGCTCTCCAGTCACTAGGAACGGCGTACAGGAACCTCTGGCTTCCACCCAGCCCTTCCCTCTTCCTTCTCAGCTTCCAGCCCTCCTCTCCTGCTCCCTGTGGATGCCCCAGGGGCTCTTTTCAGCTCTGAGCCAAGATCTGCACAGCCTCACCCCGCCCTCCCCATTCCTGGCAGGGCCCTTCTTGGCATCCACCAGGGTCCAACTTACATGCTGCCCCTTGAAAGAAGCCTGCAGGAGCCCGGAGCCAGACACTCATCCCTTTCCTGCCTTCCCTTCTGAGAAGGCCTCCTTAGGACCCACAACGATACACTTGTTCCCCAGGGCTGGCCCCTTCCCCAGGTGTGCCCCTTCAGACCGAGTCTCTTGCTGCTAACACACAGGTGGGCACCTCGTCATCCCTTAATCACGATCGAACCAGCAAGGGGATCGTTTCCCAAGGAAATAGGGAGGACCTCGGCTCCCGCAGGCCCCTCATCCACCCGGTCCAGCCTAGATTGGGAAGTGGCTGTGGGAATCGAGCAGTCTTCACTGTAGGGACTGATGGTAGGTTTTGGAAGGGTGGCCCTGACCTGCGCAGCACACAGGCCCCTGGCTGCACAGGACAGCCCAGTCTGGAAGGTTCTGTGCCTGCCCCTGCTGACGTGGCGCCAGGCATCAGGCTAAGCAAAGGAAGACGGAAGGGTCCCCAGTGTCCGCCTAAGTGGTGGAATCCAAGGCAATGCCGGGGCGCTATCACCACGTGCTTCTGGCTAGTGCGCCGCAGGCTGCGCCAGGATTACCCGGCTGCCTGGACCCCCGGCCACAGTCTGAGGTGGAGGGGCATGGACAGTGGTCGTTCTAACAAGGACAGGAAGGCTCTGGGGGGCTACTCTGAGTGGCCAGGACCCGTGGTTCCGAGTGAGCTGAGGTGGAGGAGGGCTAGGACAAGGGCAGTGCCCAAAGTGCCCGAGACTGGTACTTGTGTTAGGCTAGACTGTGTGACTCACTTCCCCAGCACAGAACCAGAGGAAGGGGGTTTGCAGGCCTGCCCATCCCTGAGAGAAGCACATGCATCAAACCCAGACCTGCCCCAAGAGCCGAGCACAGCGCTAAAGAATGACCAAGCTAACGACCCTCTGCCGCTGAGTGGATTCTGACTCTGGGCGACACTGCGGGGCAGAGTGGAACTGCCCCCCGAGGGTTTCTGAGGCTGTACATCTTTACAGGAACAGCCAGCCTCGTCTTCCTCTTGTGGAGAGGCTGATGGGTTCAAACCCTTGATCTTGTGGTTAGCTAACCCACAGCACCGCCAGAACCCGTCTAAAGCCTAAACCAAACCAAGAAGCACAAAACCAAGGGCCACAAATCTGAGACGAGTGCCCCTGTTCACACCAAAAGGGATTCTCTGCCTTCAGAAGCCTTTGTGTGCGTGGCCCAACAGCACAGTCTATGTACACGCCTCACTTGGCGGCGGCCGGCAACGCAAAGAAACAAAACACCTTCGAAAAGTCTCTGCTCAGCAGAAACAAAGCGCTTCCAAAAAACCCAACCCAACCCGGCGACCCTATAGGACAGAGTAGAACTGCTGCGGAGAGGAACTTTTCTTGAACCTGACCCTGCTGGTTCGTAGACCCAATGCTTAACCGAGTGGGACACCGAGGCTCCTTACAAATGGTTTCATTCCAATTCAACCCACTGCCATCAAGTGGATTCCAGTGACTCTACGTAGGGTTTCCGAGGCTGGAAATGTGGACAGGAGCAGACAGCCTCATCTTCTCCCATGGAGTGGCTGCTGGTTGGCCGTCCAGCAATAGGAGCACTCACTCAGGGTCATTACCTGGTCCTCAGTCATGGCTCAGTCACCGTGGGCCGTGATTGGGACTATCAGGAGTTCTCATGAAGTGTCCTGGCCCAACATCTGGGCTGAAACCCTGTGCCTATGACCTCCCTGCTATGTCACCACCACCCCACCCAGCATCTGCATCCAAGCTGAGAGCAGGGACTGGGGGGCCCTGGAGGGAGTGATGTTACCTCGGTGAGGTTCCGGTGAGGTCACTTCCACTTCTGTGTACTCCACATCCAGGTCCAGCAGCTCTGCACAAAGGAACCGCAGTGGCCTGGGATTAGACAGACTTTCCTTCCGGGGCTGCAGCCCCCACCAAAGGTTGCCATTCAAATGAGTACATTATTCTCTATTCTCAGGGGGCAGGTGGAGATGGGGCTATGAACTCCATTCCAAATGGGTCCCCAGGCACAGTGCTCTCCTATACTTCCCCGTGTCGGGGTGCAAGCAAGTGGCTAACAGGTTTGGCTGCTGAATGAAAATGTTGAGGGGTGAGTTTACATAGAGGTGCCTCAGAAGAAAAGTCTGAAGATCTCCTTCTGAAACCAGCCATGGAAAAGCCTATGGACACGCATGGGGTCGTCATGAGTCAGAAGGGACCTGGTGTGTGTGCATGCGTGCATCTGTGTCTGCAGACACAAGAAATAGCCCAATACGGGCCACTAGGCAACTCCATTCCGCCTCACCTGAAATGCTGGATGCCGCTCTCCAGCCACGAGCAGAGAAGGCTAGACCCGACGCTGAAAGGGTCTCCGAAACCAGGGAAGGGTCGCCAGTCTTAACTATTCATGTTTAGAGCAGGAGGCATACACGCGGGAAAGTATTTTAACAAGATCATTTGGGGCGCTGTGGTGAAATCTCCTAAGTTATTAAAAGACTGTCTTGTCTTGTTTAGAAAGCCCCAATCAATCTGGGTTTCTTGCCATCGAGTGAAACAGGGCATCAGAGGTGAAGGTTACAGGATCCCTGTCAGCTGTGGGCAGAACCAGCTAACACCCTGTTGTCTTAAGAAGCCAGCTGCAAGCTAGTGATCAGTCCATCCTTGGATTCTTGTCCTGATCTGCTAGAAACTTCCTTTTGTTTTTTTTTTTAATTGAAAGATCATTTTATTGGGGGCTCTGACAACTCTTATCACAACCCACACATCGATTGTATCAGACACATTAGCACATACATTGCCATCGTTCTTTTCTAGACATTTACTTTCTATTGAGCCCTTGGGATCAGCTCCTCTTTTGTTCCTCCCTCTCCCCTACTGGTGGCCCCTTGATTATAAATTATTATTATTTTCATATCTCATACCGACCGCTGTCTCCCTTCCCCCTTGGTTTCTGTTGTTCTTCCTGCTGGAGGGGAGTGTGTGGTTATGTGTTGATCACTGGAATTGGTTCCCCCTTCCTCTCCTCTCTTCCCCCTACCCTTCTGGTATCTCTACTCCCATTCCTGTTCCTGGGTTCCATGAGAAACTTCCTTTTTTAAGTGATAACCAGTCGTTTGCAACTGGAGTCTGGGTCTCATACAAGACACCTGATAGGCACTCTGCAGAAAGCCCTCCCGATTGCCAAGTTCTGTGATAGCCTAGCCCAGTGGTTCTCAACCTGGGGGTCGCGATCCCTTTGGGGGTCAAACGACCCTTTCACAGGGGTTGCCCAATTCATGACAGAAGCAAAATGACAGTGATGAAGTAGCAACGAAAATAATTTTATGGGTGGGGGGTCACCACCACATGAGGAACTGTATTCAAGGGTCTAGGCATTAGGAAGGTTGAGAACCACTCGCCTAGCCATTGCAGGGCCCTCAGGGGGAGGTGGGGTGGGCTGGGGGTAGAAACGTGCCCCTAGGTCTTGACCGGCTTTGATTTTTCCCCCTTGCTAACGAATCTTTGTAATGTTGAAGTTTCTAAAGATAAGATTTCATTACATAATTACCTTTATTCTCATTTACTGGTTTAATTGCATGGTTTCCAACATCTTCGTTGTAACCTAGTTGAAAAATAACATAATGAATTAGGATGCGTGAAAATGGGCATTTCAGTTTTCTATAACTTTTTTGAAAACTCAGTGCCACTCACAGAGAGTCCAGCGTGCTTTTTGTGAGGTAGCGGGGAACTGGCAGTGACGGTGTGTCGGGGTTCTGGGCCCTCCCTCCTCCCACCAGACCTGCGTGTGGCCTCTTTCCAGCCCCAGAGGGAAGTCTCCCATCCTGAGAGAGATCCTATGTATGCTTCTATTTGCGGATCAGACACATTTCATGGAACAAGCTTAGTAGAAATTAAACTACCTTCTGGAAGGGACTGACCAGGAGCCACAAATGGGAAGAAGTTCCTGAGCCCCCTCCCCAGTGAAGAAATGACTTCATGGGAACAAGGCTTGAAGCTGAAGCAATACCTCTGGTGGCCACTCAGCGGGTTTTGAGTAAAAAAAGGTTGGGTTTCTTTTCTTTTCTAAATCAAGTAAATTCTTACATTTAACATGAATTCTATTTCTAAAGGGTAATTTTTTTCATCTGCAGTTGAAATTACTATGATGATTAAGATACATTCATAAACTGAACTAATCCATACAGACCATATAATAACAATTGGAGTATTTCTTACACTCTGAAATTGCGGAGGGGGGTATGTTATGATACAAAGTTGTGATTATATATGAAAGTATTATGCTTGAATAGAAACTTAAATCAGCCTGCAAAGTGTCTCTGTACTTGTGTATAAAGAATACAAATTACCCACTAAAGGTACTGTTTTCTGTATCGCATCAATTTACTCTTTGCTAAATAGCCACCGACATTTTTCGGAATAGATAATATGACTGGTCGTTCCTTCCTGCTCTAATTCCCCTAAGAGAGAAGGTCGTGAGTTGAAGAAAACGCTTTGCAACTTGAGGGACTCATGATTGTACCATAGTGACTGTTGGCTTCAATGTTGGGGTCTGATGCTATCTTCTCATTATTGGAGTTCAGAAGTGGTACTGCCGGCCTTAAGAAGAAAATTAAAAAGGAAAAAAAATTGAACATCTTTTACTCTCACTTTAAACCACTGAGACAACCCTGGGGAAAAAAAAACAGGGAAGAATTTCCCAAGGTCAGGAAGACTTTGTTTTTGTACTTTAAAAATGACCATTCTTTTAACCCGGGGATGATTTAAAAATAAAGTTTTTTTTGTTTTGTTTTGGTTTTTTGCTTTCAAAATGAGGGTCAGGGCCCGAGAGGGCAATACTATCTGGAATCCTTGATCAGGTGACCCTAATGGCTGGGAGCCCCTCAACTCTGCACCCTACATGACCACTCCTCTTGAGGAACACAGGGATTGTTTCCACACTTTGGAATTTTAGATTTCACAGAACAACAAAAATCCAAAAAATTTTAGGCTCATGTAAATTTGCCAAATCTCTTTCTCCAAGTAACTAAAATTTAAAAATCCATCTACCACCATCAGAATGATATTTAAAAACAACAGCAATGGGGGTTTCACATGTAATAGTTTAGGAAGGACATGATCTCATAATAAAAAGCCATTCCTTCTTCCCATAACAGAGCACCTGGCAATCTTCCACAGACAGACATGTGCACACACACACACACACACACACACACACACACACACACACACACTTCACTCCTACCTCAGACCTTTCTTTTTGTGAGTTTGGCAAGAACCACCAAAAACTTCCTAATGGCCGGATTCTCCCTGCAGACAGCGCCCCTGCCTGCCCCCTCCCCTCCCACGCCACAAAGCAGCTGCCCTGTTTTACAGTGTACTGACCTGGACATCTCTACCGGGATCTGTTTGGCTTGAAAGAGAAAGAGGAAAACCAAAGTCAGTATGAAATTGCTGACATCATTAAAAAGAGAACACACACACACACACACACACACAAGCTAATCATATTCGTGGTATTCAAAAATAAAAGAGAGCATTGGGAGTGGGCAGGGAGGGAAAAAAGTGGAGCCGATACCAAGGGCTCAACTGGAAAGTAAATGTTTACAAAATGATGAGGCGACACATGTGCAAATACGCCTGATACGGCTGATGCACGGTTTGTTAGGAGAGCCGCAAGAGCCCCAATAAAATGATCTTTAAATAAATAAAAGAGAGCAGACACAGGTTTTCTCTTGGTCTTAAGCCCAGAGATTTCACATCTGACCCCTAGAAAGAGGTGGTTTTGTCTCTTTCAGCCACGGGCTGTCTCCATAGGTGGGACATGCAGGAGGAGACACAGACGTGAACTGAACAGCGCTGGGACCAGCTGAGCGATCACTTGATTCAAAAAAACCTCCCCAAGGCAAAGGCGAACTCAATCCCTTTGCTTTGAAATCCAAGCTGGCCTGAGGCCAATGCCAGGGTTCGCTTTGGGAAGGAAGGTGTTGGGGAGCCTCTTCCCAGAAGTGGGGCAGCTTCCTATTGTAAAAAAACCCAGGATTCCATTGACCCACACTCCTCTGGACCCCTCGCCCAGGCCAGCAGCACCATGGGCTCCAGCGGCACGCATCTCACCCCACCCAAACTCTCTGGTGGAATTTACTGATGCTGGAAGGCCCCTCGGTGGCACACTGAGGAAGAGCTTGTCTGCCAACCAAGAAATTGGTGGTTCAAACCCACCAGCTGCTCCACAGGAGAAAGATGAGGCTGTCTGCCTCCATGAAGAGACTGCTCCAGGGACCCAGGGAGGCAGTTCTACCACAGCCCATAGGATCGCTAGGCACCATCGTCAGCTCAGAGGCAATGAGTACAGGCCTCATGCTAGCTGTCTTCCATCCTGGTTCCACATCTGTGCCAAGCACAGGGCAGGGATCATGGTGCAAATGGCAGTTTCAATGGAAGGCATGCACCATGACCAGGGTCACCATGACCCTCCGACTCCATTCTCTCTCACCTGGGACCAGGTGTGGCCCAATGCACCAGAAAAACTTCTGTTCACGTGGAGATGCCACCGTCCTCCCACCTCCCAAATGATCTTTTCTGAGCCGTAATCCCTTTCATTTGTCCCTAGGGGCACCCAGGGCCTTCGTAACGCCACACCCACCCAAACCACGACCTTTGCTTCTCAGGATGGTATTCCCAGTAGAAAAAGCAATCATCAGCTACATGGCTTCAGCCGCCCCTCGACTCTTAAGTCACGACCCAACTCTGGCTGGTTTGCCGGCAAGGGCCACCTGTCCGAATGGAAAAGAAAGAGCTGTTCTCACCCTTGGCTTTCTTCAGAAAATAGCATCTGGCCCCAAGTACCAAGGTGGCGATTATCACTCCGATGACTACCACTGCAATGAGTCCTTTCTTCCACGGGGCAAGGAAGACTAGGAACACAGGAAAACAATGGAAGGTTACAGGCTTGTCCTCAGCCAGCATGCAATCACTGCAGGTGGAAGTAACAGATAAAGGTTGATGTCGACAGTCCTTGCACCTGGCCTCTCACCCTTAGCGGCTTCCGCGAGGGAGACGCTGCACTTGGAAATTCACGCAGAGACGGTTACTCAGCTGTCCTCAAGGCCATCTAAGGCTTCAGAGGAGGGAGCGAACCAGCTCTGCTGGAGCACGCTCCTGTGGACCATCTATTCAGTGCTGCTTCGCCCCTCGTGCTCCCTAATCAGAACCTAAGCCTCCTGGCCACAGAGGGCCCCTGCGTGGACAGTGGACCTCAAGTGAATCAGTTGGCAGCTCTCTGCCAAGAACGTGGCATCAGGACATTTTATTATGTGAATTCTTTATTAAAATGATTTCATTATGCTAATTTACTAGCCTGATTGTTTTATTATGCTAACCTTTTATTGTGCATATTTTATTATGCTAATTCTTTATTGAAATGAACTCCCCCCCCCCCACCTCCGGCCTCCCACTTAAGTTCCATTGAGAAGATGGGTTTCCGGTGACTGGTGAAACCAAAGGGCTTGGAGAACATTGGCCACCCATTTCCAGGCACACGTGTGGACACCTGCCACACCTGGTGGTGTGTGCGTCCTGTCCACATTCGTGGGAGCGCACACCACGCCCGGCTCACCTCTGACTGGCAGCACGTTGCTCTGGGGGACGATTCTGGCGCGGTTGGCTCGGTTGAAGGCTGTGCAGTAATACTGCCCTTCCTGCTCCTTGCTGGCCTGTGGCTTGTGCCACGTCGCCTGGGTGTTATTGATAGTGGTGTAATAGAAGGGCCTGTCCTCGTTCTCCTTGTAAAAGTTATACGTGATTGGAGGGGACGCTTCATTCACTAGGCATCGAAGCACCATGTCCTGCCCAGACTCCACCTCCCCGTTCATCTGGATAGTCAGCTTGACTTCATCAACTGGGGCTGAAAAGCAGGGACAGGATTAGCTCTGGGAAGAGAGAAGGGACAAGAAAAACATGGCACAGGCACTGGTCATGGCCAGTCTCCCCTCTCGGGCTGTGACTTGGGCTTGGATGGGGCTCCCAACTAGAATGGACACCTCTATCCTCACATGCCATTAAACACAAGCCACCAGGGACACACTCCTCCCCTTACCATCCTAAGTATTACTGACCCCTCCGTTTGAGAATAAGATTCATCAGCTCCTCTCGTTTGCATATTCTTTGGGGATTGTTTTAGAGGTGTGTGATTTCTCACTCTCTCTGCTTGTAAAGGTGCTTGGCACGTCTAGATCTTACAAAGAAATGACCTCGTCCCGCTGCCTTCTCCAGGCATCTTGATGGTGCTGTCAGGTAAGCACAGGCCTGCTAGCCCCAAGATCGGTGGTTCAGACCCACCAGCCATGCCTTGGGACACAGATGAGGCTGTCTACTCCGGCAAAGATTTACAAAGCCTCGGCCATCCTATCAGTTGGAACTAATAGAAGCTGTTTTTAAAGGTTTTGTTTTCTCTGCTACTTCTCGTCCTGTTTTCCTCCTTTTTACTTCACTTAACAAGTGACTGAATCCTACTGATTTCTCGTGTTTACATTTCATTTCCTTTAGCCTCCGAAATCTGATGTCTGTGCTTCTGTTTTTGAAGTGGCATTTTGTCTCTGGTTTCCAAGAAGCTCCCCGGGTCACCAGTTGGTCCACAAGTCTCCTGTGGGTGAGGTGCAGCAGCAGATGCTTCTAACCCAGCGCTTCTGTCCTCGAGCCCTGAAGCTTTCACGTGCCCCTCCCCCAGCCCTTCCCTGGTCGGGCCTTCTGCAAAAAGTCTGTCCCTGGCTTTTTCTGTCTTCATTCTTCTCATCCGACTACCTACCTGTGTAGCATCTACCTCTACACAGTTAGCACCTAAACACCTCTAGTGCCGACCATTCCCCTCACCTCAAAGCCTGGCTTTCTCCATATGTCTTTCCCTCTGGAGGATCTGTCAACTCCTCGATCCCAACAGGTCCAAGCTGAACTCCCCGTCCTCCAGCCCCATGCTCAACCACCCACATGCCGATCCTACGTTGCCGAGTCCTAAGCAGGCTCTCCTACTAGTGGGAGCACATGAAATGTGTCCCAGGTCTGCGTGTGAGTGGGTGCAGGGGGCCTTGATTGTGGAGGTGCTGATCTGCAAAGCAGTACAGCAGGATGGCGGGGACCCCACACTGAAGACAGTCTCAGGGTGAGCTGAATCTCAGGGGGGGCGGTGACAAATAGGACTCTGGCACCTGGGCTGCCTTCCTGTAAAACGAGATGACCTGTCTTAGGTGTTCATGGACATGATCACTCAAGGTACTTCACAAATGGCTGCTCACCTGTTCTGAGCTGAATAAAAGCTAACCACAAAGACTAGCCCCGAATCTATACAAAGATCAGACAGTCACCTGGACTTCTCTGCCGTCCCCTGTCGTCACAGATCCCGAGGGCCGGAGTCTCTACTCCCTGAAATGGGGAGAGCCACTGGGCTGATCTTCCTAGACCTCATTCTCATTCTTATCTTCTCCTTCTGGCTCGCACCGCAAGCCTCCGATCCCTAAGACTGGCATTTAGGGTTGTCACAGATGGGCTGAGCTACTTTTCCAGCTCAGGTCCGTGGCTCCCCATCTATACCTTCACCTCCAGGCCACCAGACTTAACCCCGGCCTTGTAACTGCTCCATAGACGCTGCAGCGACGGTGCTTGGCTGATCTGGGAGGCCACATCCAGTGCTCTCTCCCCACCCTGGGCAAACTCTGGCTTTTTTATGAAGTGCCCCTCCACCCCACCGCCAACCTCCAGCCAGACGCTACCTCCCATCCCTTAAGTCCCCATCGCCATCTTTGTAAGGACAGTTCAAAAGGCCATTAGTGGATATCATGAAGGTAGAGGATGGTCGGGGAGAAGGGGGAACGCTTCATAAGGCTGGATATATAACCCCACCACCCCCACGAAGGGGAGGGGTGTCAGATATGTGGGTGAAGGGAGACAACGGACAGTGTAAGATATGAAATAATCATAACAATATATAACTGATCAAGGATTCACAAGGGTGGGAGGCGGGCCAAAAGAGGAGCTGAAACCAGGGGCTCAAGTGGAAAGAAAATGTTTTGGAAGTGATAATGGTAACATATGTGCAGGTGTGCTTGATACACTTGAGTATGGGATGTTATAAGAGCTGTAAGAGCTCCCAATAAAACGATGTTTTTAAAGGCCATTATTCAGGTGCTGCCTGTTAGCATGTCGTCTCTGCCAGTTCTCACCGCTATTCAAATAGGAGGGGGCTTCAAAAGGGAGAAAACCAGAATGAAAAGAGGGTGGGATTTGTCCAGGGAAAGCGTGGCTGCTCTCAGACTCAACATTCTAGGAGGCAGGAATCGTTCTGTTGAACTTGAGGTGGCCTCCACGGCACGGACAGATGAGCAGTTGTAAGTGAGGGCCAGACGCAGAAGCGCCTTCTCACAGGCTGCAGAATATTTCAGAATTGCCAGTCGTGGCCCTCCGCCTGCCATCTGCGAGGTACCAGACCAGAAAAAGCTCGAAGGAAGAAGTCCTCGCCCAGGCCAGCGGTGTACGTTCTGGACTGAGCATCCCAGGTGAATGCCAGTCAGACCTCCACCCGCAGGTGTTCTGGATCTTACAGCGCTACCCTGACAGGCATCAGTAGGCGAGAACAGCTAACGGAGGTGACTCCGGGGACGTAAAAAGGAGCATCTACTAAGGAAACTCAAGCGCACGACTCTAGGGCTCCCCAAAGTCAGAACGTCTCCCCTCTTCCAAGCTTTGAGCCGTTGCGTTCAAAGGTTCTGAGACGGCGATGATGATGAATTGGACGAATGGCCCCCACGTCGTTACGGGCTCCGTTGACCTGGACCCTGGTCCTGCTCTGACTCGTGTCTAGGTTAGGGACACTGTGGAAGGACCACCCCTCTCTCTGATGCACCCCTCAGTCCCTCTCCAACCCTGAGCCTTCAACCATGTGAACGCAAGGCTGCAGCCCCATGTGCGGTCCTCATAGCACAGACTTACCCACCACCTTGACCTTCAGGACCTCGCTGATCATTTCGGGGTGGGAATGGCAATTGTCGGCGATACACTGGTACTCGGCGTCTTTCGTCGGGTTGTCTTTGAAGACCACGGGGCCGTTGGAGTGTGTTTGGTGGCTCTGTAAGACTTTTCTTGCTTTTAAAAGACGGTAAGTAATAGGGCCGGTCCCGTTCACCGACTGGCAGTGGATCCTCACGGTCTGTCCTTTGATCACCTCAAGGCTGGTGTCGTGAAAAATCTTGGGCTGGGAGAGCATTTCTACAACAACAGACAAAGAAACAATCGGTTGAAGGGCCTTGAAGGTAGAAGCAAAGCAGCCCGCCCAAGAGGTGCTTGTCCCCAAGCCCTGGCCTTTGCTTTCTAGGGCACCCGACTTTCCAAGGCCTCGACGCTTTAGCTCCCTTGACCGAACTCGGGGGTCTTTCCAACCCACTGGAGGGTGACACAAACTCAACAACAATGGCGTCTTTGCTGAGTCAGTGCTGACTCGTGGCAGCCCTCCGCCCTGCAGGAGGAAACACTGCCGGGTCCTGCGCTTTCCATGACTCCATGATTGCTGGGTGCTGTCCAGGCCCTTCTGACTCATGGCAGCCCTGCCCCTGGTCAGCAGCAGGAGACACTTCCCCCGTCCTGCGCCATCCCCCAGCTGTTATGGTTAGCCCATCGGTTGTCTATCAGTTTGTTGTTCTGTGGCAGCTTGCGTGTTGCCGCGATGCTGGGAGCAGCTCAAAGGGCAGCGGGGTCGTCCGAAGGGGACAGGTTTCGGCGGAGCTTCCAGACTAAGACGTGATCACGAAGAAGGAATTGGCTGTCCGCTTCAGAGGGATGAGCCGCCGAAAACCTCCTGGATAGCAGTGGGGCGCTGCCAGCCGTGCTGAAACTCTGACAATGCCTGACGAGACACCGCGGCTGGAGCAATGGACTCCATACAGCATCACAGCCCTGTCCACACGTGTCTGTATTTTCACACATGGTGCACACACAGACACACCGAGCAAAGGCACAGAGAAAGGACTAATACTACCACCACAGCTCCCCAAGCAGAAGACCTTTCACAGCAGCTCCTTCGAGCCTCACTCTCCTAGAAGCCAATGGCATGCCGCAAGAGACTTCCCACCCACTGGCGTGTGATCCTCCTGCATTCGGCATCATTGCACGTGTTTTGTGAGTCTGAAGAGGACTTTATAGATTGGTATCAGACTTATGGACTTGATCCTAGACTGGACTGGGATATTTTCTCAATATCCAATTGCTCTTGTATATAAAGCTCTTAAACACATGTGAGTGTCTATGGATTTGTTTTTCAACCCTACCCAGACTAACACACAAAGAAACCAAAACACGAATTTCATGTTTACCAAGCAGTGTTTCTTCCCTGGCCTTTTCGGGCAAGACCCTGCTCCAGCAGCCAGAACCCTGTCAATCATCAGCATGCAATCTTGTCAAGCATGCAACCACAAGCAAGCCATGACCTTGATTTTGTCTGATAACATTTCTTTGGCATTGTCCCTCTCTGGTGCTCTGAGCCTCTGAACCCCACCCTTCTCTGCTTCCCTGGAATCCTGACCCTGCCGAAGGCTGCTCTGGTGTCAGGCTAGAAGAGGGTTGTGGCTGGCAGGCAACCCCCTTCCTCTCCTTGGTCCTGGGCGCTGAGCCCGCGGAGCCACACCCACCACACACAGTGATCCGGACCACGTTGCTCCTCTTGACGACATTGCTAATGGTGGCAGTGCAGGTGTACGGCCCGCTGTCCCACTCGGAGGTGACCAGGGTGAGATTCTGAGCCTGGGCTATGGTCACATTTCCTTTCTGGATGGTGAAGTTGCCTGGGGGAGCCCCGGGGATGGTGCACCACAGGCTGAGGCGTTCCCCCTCATCCAGAAGAGTGGTGGAAGATTCCAGCTTCGGTTTGGAAAACAGCTCTGAAAATAAACCAAAAAAAAAAAAAACCATTAAGGGCATGGGGCAGTGGACTGAGTCACGTGATCCTGCAAAGGTAGGCACGTGGCATGAAGCGTCTGTCCAAATGCTGGTGGCCGTGCTCAGGTACTGTTGAGTCATCTCAGACACATAGAGACCCAACCCCCCTCCCTGCCCCCCCCCACCTCCCCCGTCCTGGGCTGTCCTCACAGTTGTTGTTTGAGCCATTGCTGCAGCCACTTGTTGAGGGTCTTCCTCTTTCTCAACCACCCTCTACTTTACCAAGCATGTCATTTTCCAGGGGCTGGTCTCTGGATAACACATCCAAAGTATGTGAAAGGAAGTGGGACCATTCTTGTTTCCAATGAGCATTCTGGCTCCCCCAGACAGGCTTGTTGTTGTTGTGGCAGTCCTCGCTGGGTACCTTCCTTGCTAGCACCTAATTAAAAGGGGTCAATCTTCCTCGTGCATCTTCCTGTACCACCTCGGACAATGTTTGGCTGCTACTCATAAGGTTTTCAGGGCCTAATCCCTTAGAAGCGCACGACCTATTCCTTCTCCCTAGGCTGTACTTAGTCTGGAAGCTCAGTTGAAATCCAGTCACCCTGCTGGTGTTTGAAGTACTGGGAGCATTAACTTCCAGCATCCAGCAACTACCACAGTAGGACAAACTTGACAGAGTCGTGGGGTCAAAACCCCTATCAATGCACAGCACCAAGAATGATCGCTAATGCAAACTGTGAGCTTTAGTTAGCGGTAATGCATCAATTGTGGTTCACAGGGACATGGGGTCAGTGGTAGAACACTTATATTCCACGCAGGAGACCTGGTTCCATTCCTGGTGTGCCTCATGCACTTACCTGTCTGTCCCTGGAGGATCGCATGGCTGCTGAAAGTGACTAGAGAGAAGGGCTTGACCATCTACTTCCAGAAACGAGCCAATACAAAAATGCCTTGGATCCTTTTAATGACCGTGTGGAAGGTGAAGCAGGAAGCCCCTGCCCTCCCCACACTGAAGCCAAAGCAAAGAGTTACAGGTCAAGTGGGCCATGCTGAAAGGCACACACACACACACACACACACACACACACACACACACACACAGAATATCCCAATGTGAACCACCTTCTGGTGGCTCAAGACACTGAGGCTTAGAAGGCAGCCCAAATGTTCTCAGAAGAAACAAACTGGACCACTACACCACGGTCAAGTTCTCCCTGACCACTGAGTCTGCCATGAAGAAGACACAAGATGGCAAGAACCTGGTGTCCATTGTGGATGTCAAGCCACCAAGCACCAGACCCAACAGGCTGTGAAGAAGCTCTGGGACATTGACGCGGCCATGGTCAACACCTTGATCAGGCTTCATAGCGAGAAGAAGGGATAGGCTCCACTGACTCCCCATTGTGACGCTTCAGATGCTGTCCACAAAAGCGGAATCCTCTCAACTGAGTCCAGAAGGCTAATGCTAAATACAAACGTTTTCGATCAAACAACAAACAAACGAAACAAACACAGATGACAAATGGCCTGATCTGCAACTTGCCATGGGGTTGTCACCGGGCCAGGCAGCCAACAACTGCTTTCTCAATTGTAACAAACGTGCCACAGAAATGCAAGCGTTATCCAGGCAAGAAGGACAGGGAAAGTGTCCAAGGCAAGAGGGGCAGCCAAGGGGAAGGCCTAGTAGCAAGATGTGTAGACTGTATCCTCAGGATAATGGGCACAAGGAAGGGTCGGGGTCAGGTGGGTTTTGTAGAGAGATTTCTAGCAGAAAATGAGTGAGGGTAGAGGGCCCAGGCTGGAGACAAGAGGAGATGCAATTTGGGCCCAGACCAGCATGACATGGGGTTGGAAAGAAGTAACGGCTGGCCACCATGACTCTAGTGCTTCCTGTGAAGAGAAATGAGGAAGACCTCCTGAAGCCTCCCAAGGTCAAGCATTTTGGAGGTTACTACGCATGGTGCACTCTAAGAGGTGATTGGTTTCATAACTCAGTTTGAATGTCAGCAGGGGTAAAGACCGAGGTTGACGTTCAAGCTGTCTTGCTATGAGTTGGCATCAACTCAAAGGCAGAGTCATTTCCTAGCTTAAATATTCCTTGAAATAGATCAATATTTCATAGTCTTTGTGCATGCGTTTAGCTACTGGCAAGCCACTCGTTAACTAATCGGTGTAGAGACTTGGATTGCTCGCGTTAGCAAGTACAAACAGTTTTCTAATTATGACTTTTGTTGAAGAAGCAAGAAGTCTATATCTTCAAGGCAGTAATTTTTCAGACAATCAGCATTTCAAAAGAAGAAGAGGAAGAAGAAGAAATGAGGCCTAAACTTCCTTTTAAAAAAGCTTTTAGGGACTGAGTTTTGCAAATGTAGTCTGAGGTCAGGGAATCCAGCCCTGCCACTGTCTCTAACCGTTATGGGGCGAACGGTCAGCTCTGCCATGGTCATCAAGGTTACAGAGCAATGGATGTCATTTCTATTAAAACCATTCAAAGTCCAAGGGTAATTCTAGTTTCCTCAACAAGGAGCAAAACAAAAAGCTTCAAAAAGGTGGCGTCCCCAAAGCTATTCCATATTTATTTCCTTAAGGCACCTTGTGTATCCTTCCTTCCGTTTTATCTGTGTTCTGAGTACCACCGGGAAGTTGGGGTTAGGAGTAGCCCCAAAGGATCCAAAGCAATTGACCTCCTGACACACCTTACAGTCTCCCCTGAGGCCCTGGCAATGGAAAAAGAAAACAAAAATGGGCGAGGGGGGGTGATGACAGGAAAAATTCAAAAGCAATGAGACCACATTAAAAAATATATATATATACATAATAAAAATCCATAAACCATCGGCAGGTGGGCGCAGGGTGGTTTAGAATGCGAATGAGGAAAGCCTGGTCTGCTTGTAAAGAGTTACCGTCTCGGAAACCCACAGGGGCTGGTTGGCCCTGTCCTAGCGGTCGGTAAGAGTCAGAATCCACCTGGTGGCAGTCAGTCTGGGTTTTCGGCGTTGAGTCTCTCGGTGAAGGAGGTAACGGGAAGGAGCTGCAGAGCAGCGGCCTCTGAACAAGGAGGAAGGTGGTTCCCAGACCTGGAGACAGAAGCAGTAACTCTCATATAAAGAACCTGGTCGGACTCTCATGAGGAGTACAAGGGGTCTGAACAAGTATTTCTTGAGCTACGCCAGTGTCCCACGCTCCGTGCTAAGTTCCAAAGATGCAAACATGTTTGTTTTTTCAGTCACCGGCCTGGCCCCTAAAGACTCGGCATAGTCATGGGGACAAAACACTAACACCAAATCTGACCGTAGCTACTGATGCGAAGGAGCAGACCCGGTGGAGGGAAACCTGGAGAGAGATCTGGGGCTCGGCCTTTAAAGGCATTAGAAGTCTGACAGCCACGGGGAAAGGGTGTTCCAGACAAGAGAGACGGTCGATGAAGGGTGGTGGAGCTCAGAGACTCTGAGCGCAGGAATAACCATCTCAGTTAGGGACCGTTGTCGGAAGGCCTTACCCCCAGCCCCATCAGGTAGAGCTGAGGCAAGCAGAAGCTCCCTAGGCCACAGAGGTGATGGGTGGTAAGGTGGCGAGTGGATGTTCGAGACCGCACCCCACCCATCACAGCTGACCGCTGACTCACTTGACGCTGCCTGCTCCCCAGGGACACCCCGTATCCTCATGCCCCTAATGTTGAACAAGCAGGGAAGGGGACACTGTGGACTCTCATGGGCCACCGCCAATTTGGATCCTCGCCTGGATCGTCTCGAACGCCCCCATAGAGGCCGCCGTCTTCCCACAGCTGCCCTACCTGTTATGTTGACCAGGATGCTGCTGAGCTTGGCTATCCGGCTGGATTCCACTTTGCAGGTGTAGTTGCCATTGTGCTCCACCATGGCCATCACCGAGTAGGTGGCCTCGCTGCCGTGGCTGCTGTGGGCCACGATGTTCTTGTCCTTGAGGATTATGATCTCGGGAAATTCCGGGGCCTGGTACGTCACCTGAATGGTGCACTTGATGAGGAGCTGATCTCCCTCTGTGATCATCCCCTCGGGACTGATGTGGAACTTGGGAATGGAGAAGGACTCTACGAGAGAAGAGGGCGCGGTCACACCTGGGAAAGGGTAAAGGCACTCCTACTCTCGTCTGCTCCTCTGGGGCTTGTTCTTAGTCTCAAGCAATGCGTCACTTTATGAATGAAAAGATTTGGCCGTTCCCCTCGAAACCCTTCCCCTAGGTTCCCCTCCGGACCCTCCTGTCCAACCTTGCAGCTTCAGCCTTCTTCTAAACTACCAGTTCTCTGATTTTCTTTAGCTTCTCTAGGTCCCTTCTGCAAAACCTTCGGTAAGTCACCTCAGAAATAACCACGAGAGTTACAGGTGGATTTGTCCCCAACCACCAAGGATGCCCGAGGCTCTTCCACACCCGCCTGGCGTGAGCAGTGGCATTTCAGCATGAATAGTCTACAGCTTTCCAAAGCGATGATTATAAGGCAGCCTCCAAAAGTTCATGGCAAAACTCCGTGATCATTTCGTTACGTTTTCCCATGAACATCTCGAAGCTAGGGTGTGCAGACATTTATTTCCATTTTTGAATGGTGTCCGAGTGAAGCATGCTTGGAAAGGACTGACTGTGTGCTGAAGGACAAACCTTAGGTTCTGAGACCCGCGGGGTCACCAGAAGGGCCCAGCCCATACCCCGTGTTACGTTCGGTCTCCCCGTACCGAGCCTGCAAACCGGAAGGCTGAGGGAAAGAAGAGGACTGACCCCTCACGGTGACCAGCTCGCTCCTGGTAGCCGCTGAAGTTTCCACCTGGAACCCAGAGTAGATCATGGCTTGGCAGCGGAAGAGTACAATGTGGTCCTGCTCCTCAATGGGGAATTCTATCACCATGAAGTTCTGGTTTGTGCTCATCTTCTGTCTGGTTTGTTTGACAGTTTTGGTGTCCATGAGTAATTTTTCGATTTTGAAGTTTATTGGGGCCCTCTCCTCTTCGACAGAACAGTTGACCGTCACAACCCCACCTTCGACCACCTCCTTCTTGTCCAGCATCACCTTGGGGCTTGGGAGTCCTTTAGGGAAGGAGAAAGACCATCAATATCCAGCTGTGCCCAAGCCTCAGCTGGGTCCCTGAAGTCAACCCATCGTGAGGGTTCTTGGTGTTTTGTTCCTTGAACACCCAATACCATGTAACCAAACGAGCTGCTGTCAAGACTACATCAGGGTAGAACTGTGCCCCATTGGCTGTCAATGACTGAGTTCTTTTTTTTAAAGTAGATTGCCAGGCCTTTCTTCCAAGGTGCTATGTGAACCCAAACCGTGGGTTTGCAGCTCCGTGTACTCACGGTTTGCCCTGCACTGACACTCCTAAAAATATGTACTCCAGGGCTCATTTTTTGTCAGCATCTACATGTCCAGCATTATACGAGGTAGCTTGAAAAATATCAAATAGACTGAAGATGTGATCAGTGCCTGCAGAGTTAACAATTCCATTGGAAAGACCAGCCTTCTCCATCGTTAATTTAAAACAAAACAACCTCCCCTGCCAACCAGGCAGTATTTATGATCACTGCTGTAACTGTAATACTAATCCCTTAAATGCTAATCATTCGTCAAACCACAGACTAGGCTTCACCCTCTAGCCATGATCCTGTCTGTGGCATTCCCATGATAAGCCTGCTGGGTTGGGTGGACATCCATGATCAAAGTATGTCCTATTTCGAGATGACGAAGCTGACACTCAGACAAGGTCAAGGCCTGTTCGAAAGTGCGCAGCCCCGAGACTGGGCTCTCCGTCTCCCAGGCCATTGCTTGTGTGCTGCCCTGAACAGCGTGAGGCTGCAGAGACCCCAAGGGACAGGGCCACCAGGAAGGGAAAGGGCTTCTCTTTGCCTGGGGGTGGGGTCCGTCAGAGCAGGCTCTAGAAAGGGCCTTGGAAGAGAGGTTGGGGGCTGGACATTTCAAAGCTCATGCCTGTGGCTCTTAGGAAGCCTGGCTAGAGTAAAGCCCATGGATGGTGCAAGCCCTTAGTGACCCTCTCCTTACCTCAAGGTTGGCATTCAGACCTACCCAGTGACCCCGAGAAGAAAGGCCCGGCCATCTGCCGATGTCAAAATGACGACGGGGCCTAGAAAATCCCAGGGAGCTCAGCTCTCCCTTCCCCTGCAGCTGCTGGGAGCTGGAACTGGTTTGGGGTTTTGTCTACAGGGAGGAGTGGGCAGCACAGCAGGTGGACAGCCCTGGGGAGCTGGAGGAGCTAGCCGGGAAGAGCTGCGCTTGCTCAGGCCGCACCACGGGCTAGCGGCCATGGGTTCCCTCCTGGAGTCTTGAACCCCCAAACTGGCCACTCCCTGGATCCGAGCTCTCAACCAGCTGCCTCCTTCCTCTCAACCTCAGTGTCCTCATGTCACCTCCGAGGAGCGCTGTGAGGGAGGGATCAGGAAAACTCTTCTACCCAGCGAGCTCTGTGAAATATCCGCGAATGAACCGGCCCGGGAATTCCCATCATCAGGCCTGTCCTTGAGCAAGGCGGAGACACCATCAGCTGCAGAGGCATTGAGGGGGGCTTTGGGATGAGGCCTGGGGTGGGACAGGGAGACTGGGGTGGGCTGAGGGAGGGGCTCCTGCAGCCAGTCTCATGCCTGCTTCTGGTCACTCCACAGAGAATGTCCCTGGACCAATCTTTCCTGAGATGGCACCTGCTACGGAGCGCCTCAACCAGGCACCAGGGCACACCCAGGAGCCGACGCCTCGGACGGACGGAGGGCTCCCGGCAGTCCGTTTCACAGGCACTTCCCGAGTGCCTGCTGGGAGCAGGTTCTTTGTTTAGGCTTCAGAATCAGCCCAGACACCCATCTCTCTCCTCATAAGCTCAGCCCAAGCGTGTCGACGGCTATGTGGAAAGCAGGTCCCCAAAGTGGAATAGCAGGGAGAACCGATCACAAGGATCTGCATGGGACCTCCTCCCTGGGGAACGGACAACAGAAAAGTGGGTGAAGGGGGCCGTCGGACAGGGCAAGATATGACAAAATAATAATTTATAAATCATCACGGGTTCGTAAGGGAGGGGGGAGCGGGGAGGGAGGGGAAAAATGAGGAGCTGATGCCAGGGGCTTAGGTGGAGAGCAAATGTTTTGAGAATGATGAGGACAATGAATATACAAATGTGCTTTACATGTGTATGGATTGTGATGAGAGTTGAATGAGCCCCTAATAAAACGATTTAAAAAAAAATTTGGAATAGCCACAGCCCTTTGTGGGAAACTCACTCTAGATGGGGAATAAGCCTAAGCCCTTTAAAATACTTTTTAAAAAATCCTCTCAACAACTCTCTAACAGGGATAGATGACATCCCCGTTTCCTGGGGAGGATTTGGAAGTGTGGGGAGGTTAAGGAATCTGATCAGAATGGTTCGGAAGCCAATCTCTGAACACTCAGGCGTGGGCTTTACACACACACAAAGGCCACGAACCGCCGAGTGTTTCAGGGCCAGTCCCCTGGAAGAGCTCCACTTGGTTCCGAAGAGTATCTGAGGAGAGACCTTTGAGTTGAGTCTGGCAGGCGGCAAAGGAACCAGCGTGGGCCAAGGCGGGGAGGTTAGAACTAGAGGTCAAGAACATGGGCCTGGGCGTCCCAGCCCCACGCGCTGTTCCTGGCGCCCCGTGGGCCTGCGCGTGGCTGCAGCCCGGGGACTCACCTTTCACCAGCACCCCGTATTCCTTTGTGGTTTTCTCCTTGTTGCTCAGGGTCACGGTGCATTTATACTTCCCCGAGTGGTACATGCGGGCTTGCGGGATGAAAAAGCTCTCGGTATCTTTGGCAGAGGAGGTGTTGTAGATCATGATGTCGTCCTTGTAGAAGCGCACCAGGTGTTGCGGCCTGACCTCCGAGGTGGTGCTGATATCCACAATGCACTGGAGGGTCAGATTCTGCCCGTTGGGCACCGTCCATGCCGGCAGGCTCTCCATGCGGATACTGTTGATGGTGAAAGCTAGGTGCGAAGGGAGAGGAGGTCAGATGCGCCGGGGGATTTGGAAACAGATCCTCCAGGCTCGGTCAGGCCTTCAGACGATTGCCACCCTCATCAACAAGTGTGTCTGTTGTCTCGTGAGAGACCCTGAGCCAGAGCCACCCAACTAAGCCAATTCCAATCCCCGAGCCTCAGAAACTTCTGCTATAGCAAGCATGTGCTGTTGTGGGCCTCGTTCAGTTTGGGAGTCATTTTTACACACGGAGTAGCTAACAAATAGACCTGCCAACCAGTCTGCCAACATCTTCACCCCATTCTGAGATCATATGGAAAATGGCGCACTCTTCATAAACTGCCCAGATGCAACCAAGCCTGGATTCTGTGTGCAGGCCTCATGACGGACACGCTATCAGGCAGTCCGTCCCCAGCTCACCAACAAGATGTACTCCAAGTTGCGTCTTACATGGAACGTGTAGTTAAGTCAGGACGGTTGCAGAAGGTTATTAGTACTTTCGTGCAAGGAAAAGCGTGAAGCCCTTCAATGATTTCAGAGCTGGGAGTGCAGCTCATGAAAGCGATTGTGATGGAGACTTTACACAACCTTAAATAAAGGACAGATGTCTGGTGTACTTCCCACGGAGTCCTGGAGGACGCATGGGTGAGCTTTGGAAGCCCACGGACCCCTCCAATTGCAGAGAGGGTCCACGGCTTTCCCTACTGAACCTGAGAGGTTCAGCACTACTGAGATGGGCTTTTAGAAGAGCCGAAAGAGGCCGGATCTTTTCAACCTGGAGAGATGAAGGCTGACGAAGGAAGATCCGACTTAGTCAGCCGCCGCAAGGAAGAGGCACTCAGAGGTTTGCACCCCAGTGGCAAGTCTCAGAATAAGAAAATGAAGGGAGCTGAGCCCCAAGGCCACCGAGCATCGGATGCGGATGCTCCTGGGAAGGCAAGGCATTGTGACTAGGTGGCCAACTGGCCCTCAAGGGGAAGTGGCTCAGGAAGAGGAGGTGGGGGGACGGGGGAGGGGTACCCACTCTCCACTGTCAGGAACATTCCAGGGCACCACAAAGCGAGGCATCGCTGACGAGCTTTTGCGCTGAGCACAGGGAGTACTGACCCCCTTCCCCCCGCACCCCCACACCCCCCCTTCTCAGCTTCATCTCAAGCAGCAACAGGTTCCGTTCACGTCCCTTCAAGGGGACCCTTATCGGCATGTGTGCAGGTCCTAGAATTACAGGGTGATTAACACATCACACCTGCTGTCCAAGACATTGCAGGGAGCGGGGGGACACAGGTAATCTGGGCACCATATGATAGCTCCCCGAGGAAGGGCTGCCCAGGGACAGTCAAGGACGGTCGAAGGGAATGAGCCAGGCACTGAACCTTGAAGCGGGCCAGGAAGGAGAGGTGAGGAGGTCGGGCGGGAGAGCGACAGGTACGAGGGCACGGGATCACAAGACCTCACAGCACTCCCTGGGCATGGCGGGCTTCAGGAACCTGAGTGTGGGGACAGAGGGTCTGGGTGGGTGGCACCAGAAAGGAGGGCTCCGCCTGCAGTGCTGATGAGCTGGTCCCTCTGGAAGGGAGCAACCAGATGAGACTGGATTCTAGGTCGATGATGGTGCACCGGCTACCGAAACCCGCCTGTGGATGGTTCTGATGGAAGCTACTGAGGCCTGAATGAGGGCAGGGGCGTTGGGGGTGAAGGGAAGAGGCAGACTCCAACGGACTTATTGGATGAAATACAGGCGTTGTGGCAAAGATGGAAGGAGAAATACCAGGTTTCTTGTTTAGGTGCCCGGGAGGATGAGGGAGACACCAACCTGAGAGAACACTGGGAAGAGAAGAGGAGAGAAAGCCGTCACTGTGCAGCTGAATCTGAGAGGCCTGAGGGATAACAGGGGAGCCTGGGTGGTGTAGGGGTTACTCATTGGGCTGTGGTCCACAAGGTTCAGAACCACCAGCCTCTCCTCGGGAGAAAGCCGGGCTTTCTTCTCCAGTAAAGAGTTGTCATCTCGGAAAGCCGCCGGGGCAGTCTATTCTGCCCTGTCAGGTCTCTATGAGCCCACATTGACTCGAATGCCGTGAGCTTGTGTGTCTCTTTTAGGGATAACTAGGCAGGACCATCAGGCCACCGGCCCCATGTTAAGACTGACACTCAGGGCTAGAGGGGACCAGGAGTGTGTGTGTGTAGATGTCAGGAGAGGATGGGACGGTGGAGCCTGTTGAGACCAGGCCAAGGTGGAGCATTCTAAGTCACCATCTCTCCTAAAGGAGATTGAGGGGCACTGGTTGGGGATAGGGGGAAAATCAGGGAAGAGGAACTAGAAGGCCCAGGAAGGAGACACTCAGGCATGATGGATAGAGTCTGAGGGAGTGTGGGGCCCAAAGGGCTATAGGCAGGACTTGCTTGTTGATATTGGCATCCAGGGGTCCTTGCTTGACCCGTTAGGGAGCGGTTCTTCCCAGGGTGAGGTAGCGGGTTGAGGCCAGACAGTGGTGGAGTGGGAAGCAAGTCGATGGTGGGGTGAAGAAGCGGAGGTGGAGATGCTAAAGCAGCCTTCAAAGGAGTTGGACTGAGAAAGGAAGCGGCTGTCCAGAGAAGCACGAGATAAGTGGAAGAGTTGGTGTGTGATTTTTCTTTTTCCTACGAAAGAGGAAATGCGACTCCGTCGTGATTTTGCACTGAAGAAAGGAGTCAGTAGAGGGAGAATGAGAACCCTCAGAGTGGCGAAAGGGAAGGGGTGCTGAGCGCGTGACAGAGGAAGGTCCTGGGGGAGACTCTAGAGGGGTGGGCTTAGAGCCCAGGCAGCCAGGAAGCCCTGATTGGCCAAAGAGGGGGGACAGCACCCCTGAGGCTGAGGCTGGAGGATGGGTGGGGAGCCAGATAAGCTCGCAGCCGGGGCAGGGCAGGAAGCTGTGGGAGTTCCCTGCAGACAGACCGCCACTATTTTCTTGCTGAAGATGGAGTTGAGATCATCATCCTTGCGGGTGAGGTGGGCATTTGGCAGGGCTTTGAAGGCCTGGAATAGTTAGGAAAGGACCTTGGTCCTGACCTGCAGGCAGTGGGCCACACTGGAGCAAGCCGGAGTGTGTGCATCTCACAGGCGTGCACCTTTCTGGACTCTAAGTGATGGGGGACATGGGTTCTGGTCCCTGCTCTGCTAACACCCAGTGTGTTGGTCTTACGGACACTCAGTCTCAAGGTCTCCAACAGTGCGGAAGGCTGGAGAAAACAAGGGGAGAGAAACAATGGCCAGCCAAGTTCTCAAGGCAGCGGTTCTCAACCTGGAGGTTGAATAACCTTTTCACAGGGGGTCCCCCGATTCATAACAGTAGCAAAATGACAGTTAAGTAGCAATGAAAATAATGTTATGGTTGGGGAGTCACCACAACATGAGGAACTGTATTAAAGGGTCGTGGCACCAGGAAGGTTGAGAACCACTCAGAATGCTGTCTAGGAACCGGGGAGAGAGATTTCCCTTGAGGTGGGGCAGAAGGCAGGAGAAAACGGAGATTCCGGGAAACCGGATGCACAAAGAGAAGCTCCAAATCTGGGATGCTTTCAGGGTGTGGCCTGGCGTGAACAAGCCGGAGGGTGGGTGGTGCAGGAGCTGATTGTAAAGCCGGAGAGGACTGGATTCGAGCAAGGCTAGCGTAAAACAGTGTCCACAGGGCAGACACCGTGCCTGAGAATCACCTCCCCTCTCCTATCTTTGGCTCGCACGGACTCGGTTCAATAGATTCCAATACCGACCCCATTGCACAAGTTGGAAAAGAGCCCTAGAGAGCCAGCGTAAACCTGGCTTAAGAGACTTGAGTTCGGCCTGCGGGTCTAGACACAGAATGTGGAGTTTGGGAGAGCGGAAGGTCCAGTGCCGATGACAAAACGACGCATGGGTTTTTTCCTTGGTCAATTAGGATGGTTACGAAGACAAAGGATTTCCTGCCTCCTTTATCGCATATCATAGCAACCCTGTGGGACAGAATAGAGCTGCCCTTTCAAGTTTCTGAGGCTGTCGATCTTTAGGGGAGCAAACAGCCTCATCTTTCCCCCCTTAGAGCAGCTGGTGGGTTCAAACTACTGACCTTTCGGGTAGCAGTCCAAGGCGTAACTCACCATGTATGCCTAATGCTCCACTCGATGGCAGTGAGTTTGGGGGGTTTACTCCGTAGGTTGACACCAGGGTAGAGTCCCCATAGCAGCCCAGCCGAGACCCCAGCAGTCGCCTTGGCTCGTTGGCACAGTAGGCCCTCTCCCCCCAAGAGCCGCTGCTCATCAGAACCTTGGGTCAAGACACCAGCATTGCCTGCCTACCCACTGTTTGCAAAGAGCTTTACAGTGTCTACAACACAATCGCTCACATTCTTGAAAGTGACTCACAAGAGCATCTTCTCCCCATCCAGTTCCCGGACCCCAGCAAAGCCCTCCTTCACTCACGGTGGTCCCAGGTGAAACACAACAAAATCTACTTATTTCAAGGCAATGTTTAAAAGCAGCTCTCAAATGGATGCTAGCCCTCTCTTTCTTTGAGAACTTGCGCAGAATAGCACAGGTATAATGGCAAGGGAGGTGGAAACTAAAACCCAATATAGATCTTAGATCGCTTAGACAGCAACAATTTACATTAAGCCCCAGTCTCGTGTCTCTAACGGGTCAGTGCGCTCTCATCTGTGAATGCGAACAATTGAGGCGGAGGATGAAAAGAAGACGTATATGGTAGGACAGTAAGGAATACAACAGTTCAATAGAATCTAAAATGCATTTGACATCTAGAACATGCTGATTAGAACATGGTCGCTAAAATCTAAAAGAAATGCAGGATTTCTAGATGGGAAAGAAAAAGGTATAGCCCGCGCCGTGCAGATTAGAATACTTGAGAAGTGTCTTGCTCTAAAACCTTCTAGAAATACTAAAATGCAATAAGCTTTATGCTTCAATTAGAATCTTTTTTTCTCTTCCCCAAGTGTTATAACGGTCACACCCAAGCCAGCTGAGACAGAAGAAAAAGACAAGAGGAAACGAAGTGGAAACTTCGTAACTTACGGTTCTCTTGTTGACCTTCAACGCTGGCACCTGGAAAAGACAAAGAAAGACTGGGTTTCGGAAGGTTCCATCAAGCTTCAGAGACGAGGGAAGAGAGTAAAAACTCACAGAGTGAGAGCGTCAGCAGGACACCGAGCCACAGCCACATCTTGTCCCCTCTGGGCCACACCGGCTGCATCGTGGGAGGTTAGTTCTGCTTTCGGACCATGCCTTGGGGGCCCAAGGCGGTTTGCACAGATGAGAGACCTGCCGGTGCAAAACACAAACAGCTCCGGGAACCAACTGCCCCTGTCGCCTGTGGAGTGGCCGGCTGGGGCGCTGGTCAGGGAATGGCGGCCATTGCTGGAAACCGGGAACAATGAGGCCTGGGCTGGCCTGATAGCTCCTCAGGAAATGACCGGTCTTCCTGCGGGGGCCACTAAACGCACTTGCTTTGTTTAGTTTCTTTAGGGGGAAAAAAGAGCACAAGAAGTAACATTTGCCCTGGAGCCCCTGACCTGCCTTCAGCCTCTCGAGGGTGGGGGGTGGTGTTTGAGGACCCTTTCCTATGGCCCAGTCAGTTTCTACCCAAAAGACTTCTCTCCTTGAACAGCAGAGAGATGCCTTCTCGGCCTTTCCTGTAGGCCCCAAAGGGCAACTCTCCACCGAGCATGAATCAGGGCTTTCCTGGGCAGGGCGGTGGACTGTTTCTGAACATGCGGGCTTTGCCAGGGAGATCTGGCACTAAAGGGGCCGTGAGGTTGGAACAGGGGGGAACGAACATGCTCTCCCGAGCCTGCTCAGTCAGCCTCCGTGTAAAGAATTCCCAGCACTCCTGCGAGGCACACTCTACCTCACCCACTCCTTTGTCTGTACTTCCAATCCCAGGCCACAGCGTGGTCAATCAGGCCCTCTCGCCCCTCAGGGTAAAACCTTGTAAAGCCTCCTGTCATCCTTTCTAAGCCTCTGCACCCCTGCCCCTTCAGTCCTTGGATAGCCCCGTGGCTCATCTCTCCCCACCTCTTTCAGGGAACCTTCCCTGTGGCTCCCACCATTCATTGTCCCCAGAGGACATCGTGTGTCGGAGCCTTGTCAGTGCTGTGCCCACTGCCTGAAATCCCCTTTCCTTCTCCTTTTCTGGAGAATTCCTACTTAGCTTTCACGACTCCGTTCAAGCATCCGTTCCAGAAGTTTCCCCTCTCCTCTCCGGAGCAGGACTCGTCCTGCATATCTCCTCACCTCTCGTGTGCTTCCCGCTCTCTGCCAGTCGCTCTCTTCAATCTTCCATGACACCTCGGTCCTCCCTCAAGTGGGCTGCTGGCTCCTCGGTGGCAGGGGGCAGTGGCTGTGACTGGTAGATCATCAAAACCCCGAGTAGAGCAAAAGACTGGGCCCGTAAAGGGACACACGTCAGGAAAGAATTGAACAATCATTGACGTGTGGTCAAGATGACCAGTGGTTCCAGCAGACCACTCCCTTATACTTCTTCCGGGTAGTGGTCAGTGACATTTGAGCGAGGGACCATAGAGACTGAAGAATCCAAGTGGATTTTTCTCTGCCTTAGGGCAAGTACCAAGAGAGCAGTGGCCAACGGCTGCCTATACAAAAGCTGAGCAAGAACGACTGGAGGCTAAGCACCCTTCATCCATTGTCAAGGATTTCCAAGGGGACCGGCTTTGCAACTGCCTTGTTCGCTTTTGTTGCTGCTGGTAGTGTTTTGTGCCCCCCACCCCCCCCACCCCATTATAAATGATCTTAAATAACCGACCGGAGGTTACCCCACCCCTCTACCAAATGTCTATTTGGGAGGGAAAAAAGGAAACATGACTAATGTAATAAATGCTGCCTTCAGACGATACGTTTAGATTCGGTGGCGCAAGGGCGGTCCTAATCTCGCTGAGACCCAAAACAAGGCATCCTTTGCTGCTTGAGGGTGTTAAGCCACTGTGATAAGTGGCCTGACCTCAAGGCCTGAGTTCCAAGGTAAACCTCCCAAACATACTCACCCTTTGACTCAAGATGCTAATGCTTTTAGAATGCCATGAGGAAATACAGCTTGCCGTTTTCAAGGAAAACAGAGAAACTGTGCCCTGCAAGTTGGGGTTGTTATTGTGGTTAAAAGCCATTGGATCCGTTCCAACACATAGCGATGCCGTGTGCTTTATCAGAATGAAACGCTTCCCCGTCCTGCGCCATCCTCATTAGACATTAGGTGCCAGAGCTGGACCAAAGAATTGAATGTTCAAATGAAACCTTAAATGGTCTGGACGGAAAAAAAAAAAAAAATGGTCTGGACGAACTGTTCATCGCCTCGACTGGTGAAGGCATACGATGACTCATGTCCAGGAGCCACAACAAAACTGACAAATAAACTGTGTTCCATGAAGGGGTGGGGGAGGAGGTTGTGCTTTGAAATAAAGGGGAGGGGGAATATGAAGTCAAGAGAAAAACTTCAAACTGGAAAAAAAAATTGCAACTCACATCATAAGCAAAGGATCAACCTCTCAGATATACTCTTAAAAATCAAGAAGGAGCACACCAGCCTGTGTGATCGTTGATGGGATCAGGGATCAGGCATCAAAGAACAAACATCATATCATTGTGAATGAGGGGAGTGCACACTGGGGACCCAAAGCCCATCTTTGGCAACTGGACATCCCCTTACAGAAGGGTCGCCGTGGGGAGGGGACGAGCCAGTCAGGATGCAGTGTAGCAACGATGAAACATACAACTCTCCTCTAGTTCTTAAATGCTCCCCCCCCCCCATCACGATCCCACTTTTACCTTACAAATCCAGCTAGACCAGAGGATGTACACTGGTACAGAGAAACTGGAAACACAGGGAATCCAGGACAGGTCATCCCTTCAGGATCAGTGTTGAGAGTGGTGATACTGGAGGGTGGAGGGAAGGTGGGGTAGAAAGGGGGAACTGATTATAAGGATCTACGTATAACCACCACCCTGGGGGATGGATAATAGAAAAGTAGGTGAAGGGAGACATCGGACAGTGTAAGATATGACAAAATAATAATAATTTATAAATTATCAAGGGTTCATGAGGGAGGGAGGAGCAGGGAGGGAGGGGGGAAAATGAGGAGCTGATGCCAGGGGCTCAAGTAGAAAGCAACTGTTTTGAGAATGATGAGGGAAACAAATGTACAAATATGCTTGACACACAATGGATGGATGGATGGATTGTAATGAGTTATATAAGCCCCCAATAAATGATTTTTTTTTTCAAAAATCAAGAAGGAAAGAAAAACAAGGAAATAATATGAACCAATAGTTTTGCTGGGGGGGGGGGAACCAAAAAACAAATTCGCTTAGCTGCCTCGGAATCAATTCTGACTCATAGCAACCCTGTAAGACCGGGTAGAATGTTCCCTGTGGGCTTTCTGAGACTGTAACTCTTTACAGGAGCAGCAACGCAAAACTCACTGCCATCGAGTAAATTCTGACTCACGGTGACTCACGGTGGCCTGGTGGTGAGGAGCTCAACACATGACCCCCCAAGCCACCAGGGCTCTCTGAACCAACAGCCACGTAGGAAAAAGATACCCCCAAACTCGGGGGGATAAGCAAAAAGGGTTCCATGTTCTTTCCTGGTTGGGTGCTGCTGCGTAGCCAGGAGTCAGGGTGGCATAGTGGTGACGTGTGGGGCTGCTAATGGGAAGGCCAGCAGCTTGAAGCCACGAGCCATTCCATGGGCGAGAGATGGGGCTTTCTTCTCCCTAAGCAGCAGGCCAGTTCCACCTGTCCTGCCGGTTCACTATGCGTCTGCATGGACTCTACGGTGGTGAGTTGGGGTTTTGTTGTTGAGAAGCAGGCCCACCTCAGGGTTCTTGAGTTCACTAGCCCTGCAGCAGATTCCCTGAGTCAGAATAAACGTGGCTGCAGCGGGTTTTATCGGCCTGTGTACCACTGCTTGACCAAAGTGTCTATTAGTGGATACTAAGAACTGGAGGGGTGATGGACAAGTTTGGAAATGGAGAGAGGTGAGGGTTCCACACTTGGGCTGTCAGTCATGGCCCTGGATCGCACCTGTAAGCAAGGTTGATGCGGCAAACCTTGACGTCGATAGCCTCCCCGAATCACAACAGTAAACTAAACCACATACTCTCCACTGCTTCAGTCATTTTATCAAAGGCTGATCATGCTCCTTGTTTTTCATTTCCCAGGTATGAGTAAATCACTAAAATGCTGCAAATTAAACAAACACAGATATGTGTGGAATGCTTCCTATTTCACCTTTTTAAACACAGGAGGCTGGGCGGCTTTCTGTTGACGTGTGGCTGTCTCATCTCCTCCCTCTTCCTTAGTGGCTTCCTCGCTCGTGGGTCGCTGTGTCCTGTCGGAGATAAAGTGCACAACAGAATGAAGCCCCGCCTGGCCCGGCACCAGCCTCACAAGGCTGGCTCTGGGTGAGCCCCTGCGCCACGCCATCTCGCCCAGGGTCTGCTGCTATCTCCCTGATTCCCTACGTTACTTAGTAACAAGCACGGTGGCCTTCTCCAGGGATTGGCCCCTCCTGAGGACATGTCCAAAGCACAGAGGAAAGTTAAACCCTAACTTCTGAGGAGCATTCGAAGAGCTCTGGTAGCATAGTGGTTATGCATCGGGCTGCTAACGGCCAGGCCAGCCGTTCGAAACCACCAGCCGCTCTCCGTGGGAGAGCGATGGGACTTTCTATCCTGTAAAGAGGTGCGGCCTCGGAGACCCACAAGGGCAGTTCTAGCCCTCTGGGGTGGCCATGAGTCAGAATTGACTCCACTTTTTCCAGATGTGCTCTTTCTACTCAAAACTTTTTTGTGTGGGATATTCAAAACGTTTCTCACGATAGCATCAACTGCTCAGCAATAAACTGACTGCCACCATGCCAAGGTCGGAGCCCCAGCTGTACCCAGCAGGCCTCATACGTGCACTGGGGCCTTCCTCCTAGCCAGCGTGTGCTCCCTTCTTCCCCTGCTTGGCCAAACGGAACGGAAGGAGGACATGCGCGAAGGGGTTGCTGCATGCTTCTGCCTTCAAAATACAAATTGGAGAACAAAAACCCAAATCACAGCAATGTAGTCATTGCTCAAAAAAGCTGAAAAACCCCAGGAAGTGGTTTTTCTGAGCAGCCAGGGGAGGGTGAGCAGGCAGGAGGGAAGACAGGCCTCTCATTTCCTTAGCCTGTGGCCCACAGTCCGATTAGCCTTCGAGGGGAGAGGTACTAACCTGAACAACTGTGTGCATCCTCACTGTGGATTTGACCCTGTGGAGCCTAACAAACTACGGACAGCCTTGAGAAGGATGGGAATTCCAGAACACTTCGTTGTGCTCGTGGGGACCTTGCACACGGATCCAGAGGCAGTTGTGCACACGGAACAAGGGAATACTGCAAGGTTTAAAATCAGGAAGGGGTGTGTCCAGGCTGTATCCTCTCACCATGGATTACAACGCAATGTAGAGAGGACCCAAATCCTCACAAGAGGACCAATAGGTAACATCATGAAACACAGAGAAAAGATGGACGGTGTCAAGAATTTTGTCTTCCTTGGATCCACAGTCAATGCTCTAAGGGGCAACAGTCAGGAGGCCAAGAGACACGTTGCACTGGGTCAATCTGTTGCACAAGATCTTCTTTCAGAGTGTTGAGAAGCAGGGAGGGGAGTTTGAGGCCTAAGGTGTGCCTGACCCAAGCCATGGCATCTTCAATGGCCGCAATATTTTGAATGTCCATATGCATATTGAATAGGGAAGACCAAAGAAGAGCCGCTGCGTCTGAATTAAGGTGTTGGAGAAGAACACTAAAAGTACCATGCACTGCCAAAAGAACAGAAAACATCTCGTGGAAGAAATATGGCCAAAGCGCTCCTTGGAGGCAAGGATGGCAAGAAGACTTGTCTCACGTACTCTGGACGTGTTGTCAGGAGAGACCAGTCCCTGGAGAAGGACTTCATGCTTGGTAAAGGAGATGGACTGACGCCAAGGCTGTAACAATGGGCTCAGCACAGGAGCAACTGTGAGGACGGCGCAGGAGCGGGCAGTGTTTTGTTTTGATGTGCTATGGGCGGAACCGACTCAGTGGTACCTAACAACAATAACCATCCTGAATTCACTGAACCAGAGAGTCACCCCAGTCAGAAAGCGTACAGGTACAAATGCTCGAATCTGGAGCCCGCAGTTGCTGTCCCTCCTATACTGTTAACACCTGAAATGCTTTGGGCCTCG